TTCTCAGGAGGAAAAATCGTAAGGAAAGGATTTTTCAGAAAATATCATGGCTACACGGTGCCATAAAAATCCTTCATTTGTGTGAAGTGTAGCATAGATCACCCATTTCATTATTAGTTTTTGAAGTTCTGAAATGTTTTAGCTGATGTAATATTTGTTTGGAAAAGTGTGTAAAAACTCCTCACTGGAGGGTTTTATGAGATTCCATCTTATTAAGACAATTTAAATGCAAACTCTAGTGTGAGCTGCTTTGCACTTGTGGGTCTGCAGCAGAGGCAGCCCTGGTGATGTTCTGTACCTGTTCCAGCTCAGTGCCCTGCAGGATCCCATCTCTGAGGGGATTTTCCATGGCCCTGAGGGACATCCTGAGGCATGGCCAAACATGCAGGCAGATATTCCATGGTGTGTTTGAGGAAGGTTTTCAGTGCTGCACAAAGAGGGGAGGAGAGTCCATCCCTGTCAGAAACAGCTTTGCTTGCATAACTCATGTGGAAATCAAACCTGGGGTAGGAGGAGGTGTGGATTGGGATTGTGGGTGTGGAGAGGCAGGTAAATAACTAACAAATAAATAAATATTCCATGAGTGAGGGATGATAAACAGCAGTGCCCTGAGTGGGTTTGGTGCCACAAAGTGCCCTTTGCCCTGGCAGTGCTGGGCTTGGAATGGCAAATTTGGGATGATTGGGGTGGCACAGTAATAGATGGCAGCAGGGGAGTGTTGGCTCTGGGTAATGAGTGGATCTGCATTTCTGAGAGTGCAGAATGTTTGGTGAAATGTCAAATACCCATTCCAGAACCAGTGATGGTGTGAAACTGGACTTTGGGTTATTTGTCCTGTTATTCATTCTGTTAATTCATGTTTCAGTGCACTGCATCTCCTGTACATGTGGATTTAACAGTTGCACAGTGTATAATAATATTATTATAATCTTTAACTGTTAATTGGCACATTGTGCCAGCTCCCCCCCTCTGGGAAGCTCCAGTTGGTGTCTCCTGACCAGCACAAATCCCTCATGGCCCTGCTGCCCTGAACCTCACCCTGCCTGTCATTGTCACCTCATCCACGAGCCCAGGGCAGCTTCTCTACTGAATTTTGGAAGAAATACAGACAAAACTTGAGGTTATGGGATCAGTAACTCAGAAATCTCCAGCCCACCTGATCTGGAGCTGCTGTAAAGGGTGTGCAGACACTGTGCATGGATTGGGGAAGGTGTGGAAGCTTGGAGTAGCTCAGTCCCTTACATGTGGATAATGTGGGGCTTTAACTGCTGCACAGTGTATTATATTATTATTATTATTATTATTATTATTATTATTATATTTTATTGTTAATTGGCACATTGTGCCAGCTCCCCCCCTCTGGGAAGCTCCAGTTGGTGTCTCCTGACCAGCACAAATCCCTCATGGCCCTGCTGCCCCAAACCTCACCCTGCCTGTCATTGTCACCTCATCCACGAGCCCAGGGCAGCTTCTCTACTGAATTTTGGAAGAAATACAGACAAAACTTGAGGTTATGGGATCAGTAACTCAGAAATCTCCAGCCCACCTGATCTGGAGCTGCTGTAAAGGGTGTGCAGACACTGTGCATGGATTGGGGAAGGTGTGGAAGCTTGGAGTAGCTCAGTCCCTGTACATGTGGATAATGTGGGGCTTTAACTGCTGCACAGTGTATTATATTATTATTATTATTATTATTATTATTATTATTATATTTTATTGTTAATTGGCACATTGTGCCAGCTCCCCCCCTCTGGGAAGCTCCAGTTGGTGTCTCCTGACCAGCACAAATCCCTCATGGCCCTGCTGCCCCAAACCTCACCCTGCCTGTCATTGTCACCTCATCCACGAGCCCAGGGCAGCTTCTCTTCTCAATTTTGGAAGAAATACAAACAAAACTTGAGGTTATGGGATCAGTAACTCAAAAATCTCCAGCCCACCTGATCTGGAGCTGCTGTAAAGGGTGTGCAGACACTGTGCATGGATTGGGGAAGGTGTGGAAGCTTGGAGTAGCTCAGTCCCTGTACATGTGGATAATGTGGGGCTTTAACTGCTGCACAGTGTATTATATTATTATTATTATTATTATTATTATTATTATTATATTTTATTGTTAATTGGCACATTGTGCCAGCTCCCCCCCTCTGGGAAGCTCCAGTTGGTGTCTCCTGACCAGCACAAATCCCTCATGGCCCTGCTGCCCTGAATCTCACCCTGCCTGTCATTGTCACCTCATCCACGAGCCCAGGGCAGCTTCTCTACTGAATTTTGGAAGAAATACAGACAAAATTTGAGGTTATGGGATCAGTAACTCAGAAATCTCCGGCCCACCTGATCTGGAGCTGCTGTAAAGGGTGTGCAGACACTGTGCATGGATTGGGGAAGGTGTGGAAGCTTGGAGTAGCTCAGTCCCTCTTGTCCAAGTGTGGGTCACATTGAAACTGAGTTGAAACCTGTTTTCCTGGCTTTTCTGCTGGGAATCATCTGGCACATCCAGATGTGTGAGTGGTTTGAAAAGGATCCTGTGACCTGCATAGGAGTGTAGCTGTACCCACAGAAAATAGCTAACCCACCATTATCCTGAACTCTTGTTTTTTTATAAATCATTCTGAGTAGATTTACACGCTCCTTCTTGAAGGGGAGAGGAAAATTTTTTAAGAAATAACTTAATTTTCACCTCAGAGTCCCCATGTAAATATCCTCCTTCTGGGTGGTGAAAAGGCATCAGGCAGGACTGTGATATCTTTTAGTTATGGCTGCCATGTCCATTAGAAGTAGGGAGGGAAACCCTTGGGATTTGCTCAGTGACAATCTGTGGGTTGTTTTTGTTTCCCCTTCTTGCAGGTGAGAAAGGAATTGGCAAAACAACAGGGAAGAAGCTGTGCTACAAAGGCACCACATTCCATCGGGTGGTGAAAAACTTCATGATTCAGGGTGGGGACTTCAGTGAAGGTAAAATGGGCTTTTAAAACTGCCAACTTTGAAATGAAACAGAAATGTTATTTATGTGTTCATAGCTTCAGAAAATACCATGAAAATATTACAATGCCATAAAAATCCTTCATTTGTGTAAGGTACAGCATAGATCACCCATTTCATTGTTAATTTTTGAAGTTCTAAAATGTTTTAGCTGATGTAATATTTCTTTAGAAAAGTGTGTAAAAAACTCCTCACTGGAGGGTAAGTACAGCATAGATCACCCATTTCATTGTTAATTTTTGAAGTTCTAAAATGTTTTAGCTGATGTAATATTTCTTTAGAAAAGTGTGTAAAAACTCCTCACTGGAGGGTAAGTACAGCATAGATCACCCATTTTATTGTTAATTTTTGAAGTTCTATTTCAGCTGATATAATATTTGTTTAGAAAAGTGTGTTAAAACTCCTCACTGGAGGGTTTTATGATATTCCATCTTATTAAAACAATTCAAATGCAGACTCTGATCTGAACTGCTTCTCACTTGTGGGTCTGCAGTAGAGGCATCAAGCAATTCTGATGGTACAGGAATTTAACTGTTTGAATAAGATTAAAATAATAATAAAGCACTGAATGAGCTAGAAATGTCTCCAGAATGTTTTCCTGGATTGTTTGTTCCTTTCCTGAAATACCTGTCCTTACCAAATGTCTGTTTTCACTGTGTCCTGACCAAAAGAGCCTGAGGAGGGAATCTCCTATTTTGAGAGTCAAGTGCTGGTGGAATGTTCTGCACAACTTTTGTATAAATGAAACAAAAAGTTTTCAACCAAAAGTTTTAATTGCTGCCTTTTAATCTGTAGGTAATGGAAAAGGAGGTGAATCTATTTATGGTGGCTATTTCAAAGGTAAGAGCAAATTTGTCTTTACAGATTCTCTGTTCAGTCCTGAGATAAACAAGTCTTGATTCCCAAACTATTTAATGAAAACAGGTTCACTCATAGATCACCTTTTTGCATGAAACTAATGTTGCATGAGAATTCCTTTTATGTGCATGACTTCCTGATAATTTTTTGTTAATATTTAACTTAAATTGACAATTAATTAAGGCTAACATAATTGGTTAAACATGACTTTCAGCATGGAGGCTAGGCAACTTTATTCATGAATGAACTCCTATCTTCCTGCCTAAAACTGTCAACATATTCTTTTGTTTATAGAGAATGTGGTCTTTTGCAAAATGAAAAGGTAAGAGACAAAAGCTCAGTAACACAAATTCAAACTCTGTTCCCTTGTCCCCTCCCTAGTAAATTTATAGACAACTGCTAAGTCCCTTTGTAGATGGATATCTGTGTTGCTTGGAGAAATAAAGAGTTCTGTGGCTAACCTTTCTGAGGGTTAATGACTTATTCTGAGAGAAAATCCACGTAATTCCAGCTCCAAACAGTGATTTCTTCTTTTGTTCATGTCCCTTTTCCTCCCCTTCCCTACTCAAGGTTTGTATGCTTAGGGTTCATTTTTTACTTTATTTATATGCTACACAAGTCATTTTCCTTGCAAAGAATCGATAAATAAATGTACAATTACCTCTTGTAAAAGTCTGTTGGAAGGAAAATGGTGAGTTTTTAAATGATTTGTTTAAAGACATACAATTATTTCTTAAAAAACCAGGTTGTTACTGATATTCAAATGTTAAGATAGTGAAAATATTTATTTACAGCCTCTGGTTCTTGGTATGGTTAGATGCATGAAATTAAGTTTCTTTTAAAAAAGACACACAGCTTTATATGGGACTATTGAAGTTTTTAGTCAAGGAAAGGCTTGAACAGATCCATTTACTAAGAAGTTACTCAGGGTCTGTTTCTCATGGTGAGTGCTAAATATGCAGGATTGTGTTTTGATATGTGATCTAAAAATGAACAGCTTTGTACATTCAAATTAGTATTTTTATCTTTGGAAATGATCTGGAGAAGATCTGGTTTTATATTCTGTACAACCAGAACTCCTTTTTAATTCACTGCAATATAAAATGCATGTTCAGTTTATTCTTAGTTGCTTTAATGTTTAGATTTAGATACAGAGAGGTTTTTTTTCCCTTCCATGCTTTGAGACTTCCAGTTTTGAGTGTAGAGGTGACATTTTTAGTGTGCCATAGCAGGGAAATAATCAGCTTTTTCTCCTGACCTTTCCACCTGCAGTGTAAATAACAGCATCATGTATGTTCATTCCTGTTTTAGAATGTCAATAATTCTGCCAGCCTTGTTCTTACCCAAATAACTCAGGATTTAAATCCATTACCTAATGTTTATTGAATATACTCATAATGAATTATTTGAAATTAGAAATGTTTGCACTGTATCTACACCATTTTAAGAACCAAAGTTTTGTCTCAAGTGTAATTTGAAGGGACTTGTTTCAACCTGCTTGTTGTTTTTCCTCCATCCTGTTCCCTTTCTCCAGCAGCAGCAGAATTTCTCCTTAGAGCATCCATAAATTACTAAGAAAACAACCTGCCTCCCTTGCCAGGGAAAATCTGACAAACATATTTTTTCTTCAAACAGATGAAAACTTTATTCTCAAACATGACAGAGCGTTCCTTTTGTCAATGGCAAACCGAGGGAAACATACCAATGGTTCCCAATTTTTCATGTGAGTAGAAGTGATCCCACACTGGAGCTTTTCTTACACAGAGAAGCGCTGTTCATGAGAAAGATGGTATTGCTAAATTCTCCAGAAATCCATGTTCTCCAGCTGATCCTGGCTGGGAATCAGGGGCACCTGCACTAGGAATTGCTAGAGATCAATATTTCCTTGTGGCATTCGTGGATGTTCTTCCTTTGTGGCTTTTTCCCCCTAAAAATATGATTTATGTTCAGTTCTTAGCAGCCAGGAAAGAGATTCTTTGCTTTGTGGGTGCACAGATCTCACCAGTTTGTCTGCAAATGACAGGGATGAGCATTGTGTGTAAAGGGGAGTGAGATCTAGCGGTGGTTTGTGTGGTTTTGCTCTTTAAAAAAATGATGATTTATGATTTTTGGGGGGCTGTTTTCTTTGGGTTTTTTTTCAGGAGAAGAATGGGAATTTTTATTTGATTACTACGATTACTATTACTATTTTATTTGAGTATTTGTTCCTGACATGCTTTTTGAATACATCATCATTCTGTTAACTTGTGCATTTACCAACACTATGTAGATTGATGTGCTGATAACCAGATTTTTGTTTCATTACCTTTAAAAAATGTCATTCTAGTAACCACATTCTGCTAAATTCTAGAAATTACAGAAAATACTTTTACCTTTACTCAGGAAAACACTCAGGTCTGATAATTCTACACAGTGCTGCATTTACCAACATTATGTAGATTTATGTGCTGATAACCAGATTTTTCCTTTATTACCTTTAAAAATGTCAGTCTAGTAACAACATTTTGCTAAATTTCTAGATTCTTTCTAAATTCTAGAAATTACAGCAAACACTTTTACCTTTACTCAGGAAAACACTCAGATCTGATAATTCTATATAATGTTGCATTTACCAACACTATGTAGATTTATGTGCTGATAACCAGATTTTTCCTTCATTATCTTTAAAAAATGCCATTCTAGTAACCACATTCTGTTAAATTCTAGAAATTAAACACTTTTACTCATAAGTAGAACACTCAGGTCTGATAATTCTGCACAGTGCTGCATTTACCAACACTATGTAGATTTATGTGCCGATAATCAGATTTTTCTTTCATTACCTTTAAAAAATGTCATTCTAGTAACAACATTCTGCTAAATTCTAGAAATTACAGCAAACACTTTTACCTTTACTCAGGAAAACACTCAGATCTGATAATTCTACATAATGTTGCATTTACCAACACTATGTAGAATGATGTGCTCATAACCAGATTTTTCCTTCATTACCTTTAAAAATACCATTCTAGTAACCACATTCTGTTAAATTCTAGAAATTAAACACTTTTACTCATAAGTAGAACACTTAGGTGTGATAATTCTACACAGTGCTGCATTTACCAACACTATGTAGATTGATGTGCTGATAACCAGATTTTTGTTTCATTACCTTTAAAAAATGTCATTCTAGTAACCACATTCTGCTAAATTCTAGAAATTACAGAAAATACTTTTACCTTTACTCAGGAAAACACTCAGATCTGATAATTCTACATAATGTTGCATTTACCAACACTGTAGATTTATGTGCTGATAACCAGATTTTTGTTTCATTACCTTTAAAAAATGTCATTCTAGTAACAACATTCTGCTAAATTCTAGAAATTACAGAAAATACTTTTACCTTTACTCAGGAAAACACTCAGGTCTGATAATTTTACACAGTGCTGCATTTACCAACACTGTAGATTGATGTGCTGATAACCAGATTTTTCTTTCATTACCTTTAAAAAATGCCATTCTAGTAACAACATTCTGCTAAATTCTAGAAATTACAGCAAACACTTTTACCTTTACTCAGGAAAACACTCAGGTCTGATAATTCTACATAATGTTGCATTTACCAACACTGTAGATTGATGTGCTGATAACCAGATTTTTCTTTCATTATCTTTAAAAAATACCATTCTAGTAACAACATTCTGTTAAATTCTAGAAATTACAGAAAACACTTTTAGCTTTACTCAGGAAACCACCCAGGTCTGATAATTCTACACAGTGCTGCATTTACCAACACTATGTAGATTGATGTGCTGATAACCAGATTTTTCTTTCATTACCTTTAAAAAATGTCATTCTAGTGACCACATTCTGCTAAATTCTAGAAATTACAGCAAACACTTTTACCTTTACTCAGGAAAACACTCAGATCTGATAATTCTACATAATGTTGCATTTACCAACACTATGTAGAATGATGTGCTCATAACCAGATTTTTCCTTCATTACCTTTAAAAATACCATTCTAGTGACCACATTCTGCTAAATTCTAGAAATTACAGAAAACACTTTTAGCTTTACTCAGGAAACCACCCAGGTCTGATAATTCTACATAATGTTGCATTTACCAACACTGTAGATTTATGTGCTGATAACCAGATTTTTCTTTCATTACCTTTAAAAAATGTCATTCTAGTGACCACATTCTGTTAAATTCTAGAAATGACAGAAAACACTTTTAGCTTTATTCATAAGTAAAACACTCAGGTCTGATAATTGAGGTTTTCAGCTCAAAGCCAGGTGTTTTTTAGGTTGAGTATCAGTTTTTCTAAGCTTGCAAACTTTGATGTGATTATTCCTTTTGTTAACTCCCTTCTCAAAATTGCCTCCTGTTAATGTCAATTTTAGCATAGTTACTTAACTAGAAAAAGTCTTTTTTTCTTTGCCATCTTTCTTGGGGGATAAGAATGAATGGCGCTTCCCTGTCTTCAGTAAAGGAGTAAATTGTCCTCAAAAATCTTGGGTTTTTATTTTCTTTGCCTGAAAAAGATCTTCAGTATGATATGATGTAGTTCAGATAAGAAACATTTTTAGGTCTTTTCCTAAAAAATGTCCTGAAAATGGAAGATGCATAGGAACCTAAAAGAAAGTCTCACACTTAGCACTGTTCAGACATAAAATTGTTTCAGAAGCTCCTTTTCTGTTCCCTTCAAATGAAATTGTACAAGTTGTGCTTCACTACAATAAATCTGAAAGGATGTGTGCACATTAATATGGAAAACAGTTTATAGAAATACAACTCCATGCCTTAATAAGCTCTCTGAAGGCATTGCTTCATTATTTTTTATTTGATGACTTGCCTTTGGGTTCTGTTGCCTCAATTTTCCATTTTTAAGCTTATCTGAACATTAAACATGAAAACCTAATGATGTCCCATCAGTCAAGCAGCTGTCATTTGAGGGCTCTAAAGTTTCTTTTCTCTCCTGCATTTGATTCCAAAGTCATCTTCTTGCCCTGATGCTTGGCAGGCTCAGCTTGTTCAATCTGATTTAAACCCCTTGTCTCTCCCCACACACCAAAACAACCCTAGGTTGTGTTGGATACTAAATTATAATTAACACAGACCAATAAATGAAGATTATTTAAAAGCACTTTGATCCAATATAGAAGTATTTTGAAAGATGCAGATTCCTTGGAAAATTTTGATTTTTTTTCATAGAATCACTTTAAAATGTATGAGCTCAGTGGAATTGAGGCAGAGTAGAAATGTAAAAACTTCCATGAGAGCTGGATTCACCTGAGCTCTGCAGGAATCCAGAGCTGCATTTACTCTGGTTAGGCTCAGCTTTGGGCTCCTGGGGTGTCCTCTGTGGCCTTCAGCATGAGGCTGCTCTGGAGCTTTTGCCTTCCCCTGCATTTCTGGGGTCTCTGATGTCTGACAAGGCCCCAGCCTGCCCTGGAGCCAGGAGAGAATCAATCAGGGTTCCCAGTGGGAAACAGCTCCTGAAGGTTCTACCCAGGCAATTTGTGCCTTCCCTAGAAAATAAACTTTATTAAAGCAGTCACTCTTGCTGGGTGGCATTTTCTGATTACTTTAGGGAATGTGTAGTGCATCTATAGTTTTCTATAATAAAATATTTTCTTCCTTTACGCTTAAAGCTGAAATTAAAATGTGTTTTTTTATACTCCCAGTAATGCTCAGTTTCTCTGTAGTTTATCATTAGGAAAAATTCTTCAAATGTTTAACCTGAAGAGTGTGTGAAAGGCAATATTCAGTAACAGCCTTCAGATTATTATTTTTTTATATTTATATCTTTCATTTTATTGATTAAAAGTATAGAAACAGAGATGGTTCATCTGAGCTTCTTTATAGCTCTGCATTTGTTTTCAGGAATGAGAACTCTGTATCTTATACACATCTAATGTGACAGATAAGGAGTGCAAAAAAGTGATTTTCTTTTCTAGAACAGTTTTTCCAAGTAGGGCTAAAATAATAGCAAGGATCCTGACTATAGATTTCTGTTAATTCATCAGAATTCCCTGCTCTCCAGAGAAAAGTTCTATTTGGAATAATGAATCTTTAAGGAAGTAATCAGGCAGCAAATGTCTCTGGCATATTGCACCAGCAAACCAGACACAAGAATTCAGTGCCTAAAAGTTGATTTAAAGTGGACAGTTTTACTTGAAACAGAATCTCCAGACTCATCTTAATGTAAGCAGGCATCTGAGGCATCATAAGAAATCATCAGCTTTCCTGGAGTAGTCAGGAATTTCTCAGGATCCTGACTATAAGAGTTCTGTTAACTCATCAGAACTTCCTGCTCTCCAGAGAAAAATTGTATTTGGAATAATGAATCTTTAAGGAAGTAATCAGGCAGCAAATGTCTCTGGCATGTTGCACCAGCAAACCAGACACAAGAATTCAATGCCTAAAAGTTGATTTAAAGTTCACTTGATAGTTTTACTTGAAACAGAATGTCCAGACTCATCTTACTGTAAACAGGCATCTGAGCCATCCCAAAAACTCATCAGCTTTCCTGGAGTAGTCAGGGATTTCTGTGGCATGAAAGAGCTGTGAGGATTTAAGGGCAGCAGTGAGAGCTGGGCATGGAAAAGGCATGGAAGGGATGTTTGGAGGCTTCAGGGAAAAGCATGGCCTGAATCCAGGTGTGCTGGAGAATTGCACAGTGCAGAGGTGCAAGGATCAGAAATGTCTGTGCAGTGTCAGAAGTGCTGGGTTTAATGCCTGGAGACTATTTTCCTCCCTTTTTTTTTTTATTTTCCCTTAATTGAGTAGGAGCAGCAGTTGGGTGGGAAGGAGAAAGTGGAGCTGAGGGAGGATTGTGAGTTCTGTGCACTTGTGCTGTAAATAGGCCGAGTCTGCTCTCATGTGCCTGAGGAACACTTCCTGCTCTGGAGGAACCCAGCATTTTGCAGTTCAGCAGAAAGGATCCAGAGAGAATCCCTCTAGATGTGTAAAGCCCTGCAATTTCAGTTTTCTGTACCCAGAGGTTTGCAGCAGCTCACTGCAGGCTTGTGTTGGAGAGAGTTGTAAAGGCACCAGGTCAGAAATTGGCTCAGGGAGCTCCACTCTGATTTATTTTCTTGTGAATAACTTCCTGTAGAACCCTCAGTGATTTTACAAGAGTTCTAAACCCATCTGGGGGTGTAAATCTGTGACTGTCCTGTTTCCATTCCAAGCTAGGAATCCCTAGGATGGGGCAGAGGTTGGCAGGAACCACTCCAGAACCATCTTTTCTTTTCCTGTAGCTCCAGTAGCTGCTTTGAATCAGCAGCAGCTCCTGGGGGAGCACAGCCAGAGCTGATCCCAGGGCTCTTCTGGGTTTTCCAGCTCAGTGGCCTCATCCCTCTGGGTGATGTTCTGCAGCCATGTGCTCCCTTCTCTTTTTTTCTGGAAATCTCTTGTCTGTTCAGAGCCATTCCATCATTCCTGTGGCCCACCTGCCAGGGAGGAATTCCCAGTACAGAATTGTGCAGCTCTGGTGAAAATGAGGGAATAAAATGACATCAATGACTGCTGATCCTCCCACTGCTCGGCTCTGTTTCCCCTCGCACCAAATCTCCCAAACTGCATTTGTAGCAAACCACAAGTGCCCCTGCAGAAGGAAGAGTAAAGCAGCAATAGGAAGCAAAACAAAGTAACCTCTTTGTGAAAAGAGGGAAATTGGTGTCATAATTATTTAATTTTAGTTCAGCTGTGGAGTGTGCTGAGGAATAAGCCCTTAGTGCAACCCAAAGAGGATCCTGGATTCTGTTCCTTATCAGCTCAAATGCTTGGAGTTCTTGGCTCCTATTTAAAACTTGAGTCTGATTTCCTATTACTGACAGATTTTTTTTTTTTCTTATTGAGGATGTTGTTGGTTTAATGTGTCTCTCAAGTTCTGTTTTCTTGCTCAGAACTAAATAGGATTTTTTGGTTTAAAAATGTTTTACTGTGTGGTGCCATGCCCAGTTCCTAAACTGAAACAAAGGAACCACTTTGATCTGCTAAATGAAGGATAAAATAATTTGGGAGTACTCTTGTTTTGATTTTACAAATTATTTCTCAATGTTACCAGCTCATTAAAAGTAGCTCATATCTTTTTGGTGTCCTAAACCAGGTATTTTTCTAATCAACAGCTAATAATTTCCATTTTTGTTGTTGTTGTTGTGAATGAAATACCTTTGAGCTAATTATTGACTAATACAAAAATGAAAATTGTCAGATGGAAGGGGCTGATGTTGCATTATCTTTGAGCATTATTGGTACACGTGCACTTCTCACACAAACAGGTCCCATTGCCTTGATCAAAAGTCGATGGAAAAATGGAAACTTTCCCAGGATACTTTAATGTGTAATCAATAACAAAGAGATAATTAATCACTGATAGTGTGTTGGGGGTGGGGGGAGGGCTGTGGGTGAGCTCAGCTGATAATTCAGTTTTCAAACATTGCTGCTGCTCAGAATTCCACCAGGCTAAAATCCAGCAGCAGCTGCTGCAGCTGTTTGGGTTTATTTGCACCTGCAATGTGGTTTCTGTTTTAAATTCTGAGCAGAGGCGATCAATGCACATATTTGAGAGAAAACACTGATTTTTCTCACTTGTAGAAAAGCTTCATAGTAGGAGGAGGATGTATCTAAGTGTGACCTGGCTGAGGTTGGGAACTCCTGGCTGCACACGTTTCCTCTGTGAATGCCAACATTTGTGTGCCAGCCTGGGCAGTTCTGCTTGGGAATGGATTCAGCAGAACTCTGAGCCCCTGTGGGGCTGCAAGCATGTGAATAAACCCACAGAAATTGCTCATTCATCTGCTTCAAGTGGGGCATTTTTTGCTGGACTGAGGCTCAGAGGGGAGTGGGGGCATTCTCTTTCTAACTGTTTGTTTTTGCAGTGGTTTTGCAAGCAGGTTTTGTCTCCAGTTTTCTTTTTGTTTTTAAGGAGAACTTTAGTTTCCAAAGTGTGTCCTAAAGAAAATTTAGAGCCCTCTTTTAGGCATCCTTTTTTCTGCATACAACTTGATTAATAATAATTTTAAACTTGTGTTTAATAAAACATAGACTCAGTTTTGTCTGAAAATGTATTACAATTTATTTCTGCCATTTTTGTGTAAAATTTACAGAAACAGTGTTACATCGTGCGCTCCAAAGGTAATGTCTCATTCCTCTAAGGCTGTGTCCTTTCCTTTTCTTTCTGTTTTTCTCTTTCTTGTTTTTCTGATCATATTGTTATGTGCATTGAACCCTTTCTTAGGCCTGAGGTTCTTTGGGGGGGGTGGGTGAGAACATGCTTTTATCAAAAAGATGATTTTTCTCTTCAGCAGTATCTTAAACCAATGTAAACTTGAGTGGAGAAAGGAATTTGTCCTTCTGTAAAGAACCTGTTTATTGAAAGGCAGATTTGGAATGGTTGAAATGATGAGAGCTCTATATAGAAATGTTCTAATAAAATATTATTTTGGGGGGATGAACTCATCATGGCTTTAGGTTTCCATAGTGCCAGGACAGGAGGTAGGTTTGCTCCTGGTTAAGTTCTGAAGCCAAAGCAAACATTCAAGGATTGATGCAGAAAACCTTGGAATGCTTTTTTCAAGTGCACCTTTGCACAATAAATGTCACATTACAGCCCTGCCACTGAGGTGAGAAAACTTTCAAAGGCACCTCAAGGATTTGGGGCTCTGTTTTCTGAAGTTGTTCAGTCACCCAAGTCCTTGTGGTGCATCTGAAAGGTTCTTCAGTGGGACAGAGCTTCTCCTGGAGTTCTCCTGGTGAACAAGGACAAAACCCAATTTATTTCCCCTCTCAGACTGCCAGGGGAGTGGGGCAGCCTCTGCATGGGTTTAATGCACCAAGCACCCCTCTCTGCTCAGTAAGCACCAGTCCCAAGGCAGCTCCTGCTTAGTTAATTTGCTTAATTAGTCTCCAATGCTGCTGCAGCATGGCAGGAGCACCTGCAGCCTCCCCAGCCCTGGTTTTGAGCTCATTGCTGTTTCCAGCTGATTCTAAACCCTCAGCCTTCACTACTGTTGGTTTCATTGAAGTAACCCACTTCTGGTTTTTTCACCCCTTTAAATCAGCTTCATAATTAAAGCCACTTAAGCTGTTTACTTAGCAGCAGGTTGTTAATGCAGTTAACTCTTGCTTCAAGAGCTTCAAAAGCCATAAGGATTTATCTTTTTGTAGCAATGTGCTGTGTTAGCAAGGAAAAATCAAAGAACACCCACTGCTAGTGAGAAATTTAATGTTGTGTTAATAGCATTTCTTCCCCTGTGTTAACCCAAAGCTTTCTGTATTATTCACTACTAAGGAAGTGGGTGGGCTGCTTGACATTTGGAGCTTAAAAAAAAAAATCAAGAGTGTAAACACTCCTGATTCACAGTTCCACCTTTTGGGATGTGTTCAGCACTCTGCAGGGTTTTGTGACCTAAAACTCAAGGGAAGAGAAGTGTTTAAGAAGTAATATTTTATTCTAGCAGTGAAAAACTTCATACCAAATCTGTGTTATTGTAAATCTAGAAAAATCACCTGTGATTGATTATTTATTTTGAGTTCACTGGAAGAAGGCTTTAAAAGCACAATAGGGCTTGGGATGAGAGAGAGAAAAAAATGTTTTCAGAAGTGATTTCTATTTTATTTCTCCCCCAATATTTGAGCAGGCTCTGATGTTCTTTACTCAATACTCCTGCATAGCAGGATCCCCTGTGCAGCAGGAATTCAGGCTCACTTGGAGAAGTAACTTTAGTTTGCTTTTAGAAAAGGATTCACAGCATTAGAATCCAAAAGATTTGTACAAAAGGCAGTTGCATTTTCCATTCAGGCTCAATGTGAGCAGCTGAAAATTAGGGAGGAAATCTGCATTTATCAGTGAAGTGTAGTGGCACAGAATGTCTGCTGTTGATTTTGGGAAGCCTGTGAGGTTTTGAGCTGAAGTATTTGATTTAAGACACAAATGTTACTTTGTATTCTGAGTCAGGGGGCCAAGCAGGTAAATGGGGAGTGAGAAAAAAGTGGTGGGAGATGAGGAGAAGCAGAGAATCTCTCACATATCATAACTCTTCCTTTTTTTAAATAAACTGTCTTTAAAGTGACCTTGCAATCTAAGAAGCTAACAAGCTCAGAAACATTTAAATCCCACCGGTCACCTAATAATATTTATCACCAAATTGTATCTTCTCTGTGATTAAAAATCATAAATTTACATTAAATGTGTATTTAAAGACACTTGGAAATTGTTTACTGCATGCATGAAATGATACTTGGTACAGCTTTCAGTATGCACACTTAGCTAAACTTCAAACAAACACCATGTAAAAGTTTAAGAAAGCCTGTGTGTATAATCTGTAATTTTAATTTGTTAATTCCATATATTTAACTGTGTTTTTTCACTATTTTTGTCTTACCTTCACCTCTTTTTTTTTTTTTCTGTGTCATTCTCCTCTTTTACTTCATCTGAATCCCTGATTTTCTTTTATTTTACCATCTTCCCATCTTGCTGTTTGTCCAACAGAACAACAAAACCTGCTCCTCATCTCGATGGGTAAGAATCCTTTCATATTTCTCGAATGATTGCTGAAGTTTGAGGGTTATATTGAAAGTAGACAACAATGGGGAAACAAATCCTTAACTCTGTGGAAATTATACAATGGGATGAGATGGAAAACAAAAGTTTCAGTTCTATAAAAATTTCAAGTCGCAACTTACTTCCTAAAGCTGGACAAAATCTTGAATTGTCTTAAATCCTAGGATTATTTCTTTAAAACTGCTTGCTGCCCTCAGCCCATAAATTTGGGACTTGAATTGCCAAACTTAATATATTTGAGCAGTCATCTCTTTTGGGGCTTGTTTTTATCCCTAAAATTTATGGGGCAAATGGAAGACAGGAAGAGAAATGTGGTACCACAGAACAAAACCAAAGATTCCTTTATTTTAACTGTCCCTGCAATGCCAGGGGGGAATTGCATCCTGGGTTTGTGGAGATCTATAAATTCTGCTCCTCTGGGGAGGAGTTCTGTCATGTTTATGGATGGGCTCTTGATCTCTATTGCACAAAACTGCAAAAATAGAAGGGTGGGTTAGGAATTTTCATCTGTTTACCCTGCTCTTGTTGAGGAGATGAGACTGCTTCACTTTGAGGGAAATACTTGATGTCAGAGTGGATCTTTGTTTCACATTGCATAAAAATCTTAGCATGGTTGTCAATGTTCAACTTAAAACCATAAAAAACCTTATTTAACGCATTAAGAGCTCAATGTTTCTATCTCACATTGACTTTTTAAATGTGAAATTAATTGGAAAATAATCACAGCAATTCACAGATGTTTTGTACTTTGTAAACACTTCCTTTCTGCAGTGTGCACGTTGTCTTTGGGCTGGTCATTTCTGGGTTTGAGGTCATAGAACAGATAGAAAATCTCAAAACCGACACGGCCAGCAGGCCCTACGCAGACGTGCGCGTCATTGACTGCGGGGTGCTGCTCGCCAGCTCAGCCAGGGATGGTGAGTTCCCAAAATTATTCATTAATTTTAATTCAGCATTCCCAAATTAGTGATGTTCATGTGTGGAAAATGGATTTGTAGGGAATTCTCCAAGCCTGACAGAAGGCTCACACAGTGTGTGCATCTGTATGCAAACCTTGAGATGAGAAATGCTGACTGAGAAATGCCATGGAATGGACAGACATTGCTGAGAGAGAAATGGAACAAGTTTCAAAAGATAACCTTGCAAATAAGACTGGATACTTTGGAGAAATAGAGCTCAGAAAGATGCATTGTAGTGAGACCCAGGAGGGGTAATTTTAGATGATTTGCTTTAAGGCATTTTCAGCATGGTGTGGCTAAAGCTGATAGGCCAAGAAATACTTATAAGGTGTTATAATTAAACAGTAGTTACCCTCTAATTGTAATAACAAATTATAACATCTGTATTGTCTCACCCTTCACATGAGACTGAAAATGGAATAAAAGTTTTTAAAGCACCTCTCAGTTGCCCCAGCTCTGTGTCAGGAAAGGGCTTAATCCAACACCCCCCCTCCCAGGAGCTGTTCCTGATCTCTCCTTGCTGTGCTGCAGAACCTGCTGAATGACTGTGTGGGATAGAAAGAAAATAAAGATGGTGCAGAAGGTGATCTGGCCCCTGAGGAGCTGCAGCTGTGCCAATCACCAAAGATTAGGGACAGGCCTGCCCTTAACAGGCCACAGCTGTGCCCAGTGAGCTTGAGTGCTATAAAAGAGGGCTCAGCTGTTGAGAAGGGAGTTGGGGTTTGTTGGCTGTGCTGTGAGGAAGGAGCAGTCAGTGCTGTGAGGAGCTGTCCATGAGAAATCACCCAGAAGGTGTGGGAGCTTCCCAATGACAGAGTTCCTGTTGTTCTGTGTGGGTCTCAGGGTGGCTTCAGTTCTTGAAGCACATAGGGAAGAACTCAAGGTCTGCTGGAGTTTAATCAATATAATTGTACCAGTGTGACCCTGGGAGCTCGGGGATTTCCATCAGAACAGGAGCAACTGCAATCACTTAGATTTGAAAAAACATTCTGATGATGTATCAGAAGTTTAAACAGAAATGAGTGGGTCAGAAAAGGGCTTAATCCAACACTCATGTCCCCAGAGTACAATTCCACTAACAGCTAAAAATCATTATGGTAGACATGCAGAATCTTAATTAATTCTTGCAAGCCTGTAAAATGTAAATCTTGGTGTAAGAGAGGAAAGCACAGCAACAAAAAAATAATTTCTGCCCTCACCATTTGTCCCCTGTTCATGTTAGAGGTTGGCATGACATACTGAAAAAGGAATCAAAAATTAATTCTCTGTTTTTTTGAAAGAGGGAGACACAAATGCACTTTTCTTAAAGTTGGATTTTGTACACTTAAATAAAAGGTTTATTTTAAGATTCTGTAAAGTCAGTATATGCAATATATGTGGTCAAGCTTATTTTCCTTTTCATGAAGATTCATAGAGAATAAATGATCTTAAATATATGTTTGGACAGTCTCTGTGAAAGTTTGCATTTTCTACCTAATTTCTGATTTTCCTTAGGATAAGGTGGTAATTTATCTCCTTTAGAGAAAGTCAAGAGGAGCTCTAGTGTAAATGTGTGAGGATGCAGAAAAGAGGCAATAACAAAATTTTAAAAATAAAAAATACGCAACTGGGCCAGCAACTAATTTATTCTTAATCTTTGATTTGCAGCCTGTGCATTGTTTCTAAAAGTACCTAATTTTTTTACTATAAGTGGTCTTTGCTTATCTGTGTATTCTGTCTTTGCTGGAAAATATTCATATAATACCAACGTGGATTTAGACTGGGAACAGTCAGATGAATTTTTGATTCTTTGATATTGTGAAAAAGTTCAGAGTTTTTCTAAAATGGCCCATTTGTGTATTTATACATCTATAAAATGATGTGCTTTGTGCTTTTACATGCACACACGTGTGCACAGTGTCAATTGAAAATGTCTGTTCAAGCTTTGGAGAAGAAGAAGAAAGTTTGCTCTGACTCAGAAGCCTCAGAGTCCTCTTCCAGTGCATCCAGCTCTTCAGAATCCTCCTCTGAGAGTGAGGCTGAGAATGAAAGGAGCAGGAGGAAAAAGAGGAAAAGAAGAGCTAAAACCAAACAGTCCAGGAAACGAAGGAAGGAGGAGAGGAAGAAGGAGGATCCAAGGTGCAAGCGAACCTCAAGCCAAAGACGGTGACTGGTCTCTAAAATCTAACAATTGCAGTAAAATCTGGGCAATTCTGCTTTGTTTTCATGAAGTGCTCAAGCAGTAAATAGGAAAATGCTTTTAAATTTAGGATTTGCTGCATGATTTTATAAACAAACAAAAAAACCCTAAAGTTGAGCTTGTTGAGTTTTCTATTAAAAGGAAGATCTTAGTAGATAAAAGCAAGAGTGATGTTGAAATTACTAAATTCCACAGGGCTCAGCACACCTGTGTAAAAGTGAGACTTCAGGCAAACTGCAGAACTTTGGACATATATTTGATTATATTTTAAAAATATCTCACAAGGTGTAAATGAAAAGCAGAATTACTTGCTGTAAAGCAAGAACTGAACTTTCTCTCCAGTAATAATGGCCCATCCTCTCTTTAGCCTAAAATGGGTTGTGGAACACTATTACAGGGACCTGTTGAAGGTCTCTATGGTGAGAGAAAGACAAGAATCTTGTTTCTTGATCAGAAGGCTGGATTTATTGATATATGATATATAATATATTATTACTATACTAAATAGAATAAAGACAGAGGTTGCAGATGCTGCTAGCTAGGCTAAGAATAGAAAAGAAAGAATCTCTAACAAAGTTGTGTCCAGGGTCTCTGTCCCCAGCTTGCTCCTGTGATTGGCTATTAATTATAAACATGGGAACATGAATCAATCACTAATCAAAATAGGTGCATCCTATTGCATTCCACAGCAGCTGATAACAATTGTTTACATTCTCTTTCTGGGGGCCCTTGCTTCCCAGAAAACGAACAAGTCTCAAAGAAAGGATTTCTGTGAAAAATGTCTGCGACAGAACACATCTTGGTTTTTAAGCCAACTCTAAGTTTGATGCCTCTTCTCTTGGAACCCAGCTGGCCAAGGGATTTCCCAGCCAACTGTGATTTCTCACCCTGCTCTTTCCCTCAGCAGCCTTTCTGACAAGAGCGACGGCGCAGACAAAGTCGACCTTAGCACCAAGCGGGACAAGCCCGTGGTACGTCCTGAGGAAATCCCCCCAGTGCCTGAAAATAGATTTTTGCTCAGAAGAGATGTGCCTGTTGTCAATGTAGAGCCTGAACCGTAAGGAACTCTGAGCTTTTTATTCTGACTTGCTGAAATCTGTGCATGAAATATTCCTGTTAACATTCTCTTGCTGGTGCTGCTGACTGCAGTGTCAGAATTGCTGCCTGTGGTCATTTCATTGGCCTTTTCACAGTTTCTTTTCCTTGTGACCTGTGCTAGTAAGATCTCAAGATGATTTCTTTGGTCTTTATGGGTGTCAAACGCAATTAAAAACAATTTATGATTAATTTCAGAAGCAATCACGCAATGCAAACCACAGGAAATACTTGATTGCAAGGGAGACTTGGGATTGGGAGAGGTGATTTTTCATCTTTCTTAGGCTGATGAAGAAACTTTGGTTCAGAATCAATCCCCTGGAATTTCATGGCTTTAGCAGTGTTTGGGAATAAGAGAAAATGCTAAAATGCTTTTCTTTTGCTACAAAGGAAGTTACAAGTTCATGAGATGCTTTCAATGTGTTTTTGTACCTCCACTGTAAAATTTCATTGCTTTTGTAGCTGAGCTAATCCAGTAGATTAGCTAATACAGTAATTTATTATATTATTAGATTATTATAAATAATATAGATTTATAGAGTAGATTAGCTCTAAAATGAGTGTTGGGTTTGTTTGGTTTGTTGGGGGTGTTGGGTGTGTTGGGGGTGTTGGGTTTTTGTTTGGTGTTGGGGTTTTATATTCCCTTAATGGTACAGTCTCCTGTAAGTCTTTCCTTGGAACATCACTCACATTCCCAAAGATTTCCTCACTATTTTTGGGAATATTACACAGGCTGAAAGAAGCAAAGCTTCAGAACCTGTGAACTATCCTGAACTGAGATCCCAAAACTCTTCTGCCCATGTTGTGTTCAGGATTTGTGCCCCAAACACAAGTTAACCTCTTGTGACAGTGTTTTGCAAGTTCATTGTTAGCATTAATTTTTGTGTCAAGAGATCAGGCTGCACATTTGGTTGGAAACAAATACATGTTGATTTGCCTTTTGTTGCAGAACTCTCTTGCTTTGTTTCTTGAAAAAAACACTGAATTCTGTCTGAAAATGAATACAATGATGAATATTTCTCATTTTTAAGTTAAACTAATTGTAAGTTAATTGTGTTTTTTGCTGTGTAACTTCATACTTTATTAATTTATTTAGGAAGCTTCTTGATGCTGCACCAGTTCTGACTGACCAGAAACCATCAGTCTCTAAATCTGGACGAAAAATTAAAGGAAGAGGCACAATAGTATGTGACAATTTTATTTATTTCTTTATTTCCTCTCACCCAGAGTAACACCCATGACTTTGAGCTTTGAATTTCCCTGGAGGGTTTTGTGTGACACTGTATTTACATGTTGTAGGATCCAGTTAGAAAGCACTGAAATCCTGTCAGGTAGTTGATTTTATAACACTTCTTTTCCATCCTTCCTGTGACTTCTTTTAACTTAAAGATTGTTTGGACAAAAAAATGCCTAAATGGAATGTTTGGGAATACTTATGTAAATAAAGACTTGGGGAAAAATATCTTAAGGCAGAGTAGAATTGGCTTCTGACAGATTTTGGGGGTTTCTGTCTTTTTTTTTTTTTTTTCATCATTTTGGCACCCTCTCAGCAAAATTAAGAATGAAAAAGGTGTCATTTAGGGCTGGCAGTTGCAGAAACACATTTTTATTCCACCTCTTATAGTCTTTATTAGCACAGCTTCTGTCCAGGTGTGATGTTTTTCAAAATAATTGTTTGTAGGTTCCATCAGTCTCCAGAGTATAAAATGTGAGAATTAGGGAGATCCATGACACCCTGCAATCTTTTAGGCCATTCTTCTGTAAAAGCTGGTTTTTATGTAGTCATTGTTTCAGCTGAAACAATAGGGAATCTCAAGTTATCTTGATTTTGTTTTTTTATATAAGAAGGATGTTTTAAAACCTTCTGCAATTACCTGGATAAATAAATACATGCATCTTTGTCATTTTATTCTGGGACAATGCTTTTTTTTCACTCATTTTATTGCTTTTATAAGTGGCTCAAAATAATTGAGTCAAACCCAGATGTGCTTTTATTGAGTCAAGGAGGATCTGATTTCCTCACAGAATTTACCTAAGTGTGTATCCCACTGGGTAATGGAAAATAATGAGTTAGCAGTAGCAGAGTTCTTCTTTCTCTGCTGCACAAGTAGTTCTTGTTGCCTACTTAAATTCTCTGCCTGAGTATAATTTTTTTATAATGTGAAGCTTCATTGCTCTTTTTTGTGAAAGAGTTTTGGGGGTTTTTTTGGTGATTTTTTTTTTACGTTCAGTTTTTTATTTTTTTAATTGCTTTAAAGCGATTCCCATTTCTGAAGAGTTGAACAGCAGTAACTTTTGAAATGAGGCTTGTCTTTGCTCCTACAAACCATGAAGAGTTTGAAATGAAACATCTGTGCTTTAAAAACAAGCGTGGTTATCTGCAATAATCGCGTTATTCCGAAAGGGGATCCATGGCCTCCTCCTTGACTCTTCCCTTCACGTTTCCAAAAGCTGGCTGAGCTGCTGGCCTCTCTCAGGCTTAGAAGTCTATATAAAAAGCATTAAAGTTGCAGAAGTTTTGTAAGAAAGCCTTGCTGTGTGTGTTTGCTGTCCCAGCGCTATCACACCCCGCCGCGGTCGCGCTCCTGCTCCGAGTCGGACGACGAGGAGAGCAGCGAGACCCCTCCCCACTGGAAGGAGGAGATGCAGAGGCTGCGGACGTACCGAGCCCCCAGCGGCGAGAAGTGGAGCAAAGGAGACAAGTAAGAGCCTCACCCCCACAGCTCTGAGGTGTCCTGGCCTTTGGGAAGCCCTCGTTGGTTGTGTGGATGTAACCACAGCAGTACAAACAGCCTCAGGTTGTGCCAGGGATAGATTGGATATTAGGGAGTTATTTTGTTCACAGAAAACGCTGGAGCAGGCTGCCCAGGGAAGTGTGGAGTCACCACCCCTGGAAGTGCTCAGAAAACGTGGATGTGGCACCTGACAACATGGTTTAGTGCTGAACCAGGTGGTGGGACTTGGTGATCTTAAAGATCTTTTCCAACCTTAAGGATTCAGCGATTTCCTTCTCCTCAAAGTGGATTGCACGGTTTCTTTGGAGTCAAACAATCAAATCCACTAAGCCTTTATTGTTTTAGTTGTATGTTCTTCCAGCATGTACAAACTGTGTGATGGATGGAAGTCAGCTCTCCAGAATTCCTGATGGCTTGATACAAAATATGAGCTTCTGTCAAATTACAGGAGATCAATCTTTAACGGAAAACTTAAAAATATTATATATAACTAGTAGTGTATAATTGAAAATATTTCAGATTATTCTTTTTTATGTACTGAGATGTTTTAAAACTTGTATTTAAATATGGTTTTAGGATCCTGTTTTGTAGAGGTCAAAGTCCTGCAGACTGAGGTAATTTATATGTCTTTACACAGGTCCTAAAACATGCAAAACTTGCTTGTTTTAGGTGATTTATTTCTTGGGGAGAAGTAGCTCTTGATAGTGATGTAGTTCTACATCTTGGAATGAGTGTAAGGATCTCAAAGCAATTCTCTGGTAATAAAATGTGTGCTAGGGTTTATATAAACTTATTTAAAATTAAGTTTAAAAATACTTAATTTAGATAAATGTTTTTAAAGCTTTTGCTTTAGTCTGGGGTTTCTTTGTTTGTTTTCCAGGCTGAGTGATCCCTGTAGCAGCAGATGGGATGAGAGAAGTGCATCCCGGAGATCCAGGTCTTGGTCCCATAACGGTTATGCTGATCTGAGCACTGTGAGATACTCCAGCCATCACAAGAAGCACAGGAAAGAGAAGAAGAAAGTGAAGCATAAAAAGAAATCTAAAAAGCAGAAGCATTTCAAGAAGCACAAGCAAACGAAGAAAAAGAAAACATCAGCCTCATCAGATGTAGAATCCTCTCATTCCTTCCACAGGAGGACAAAATCATCTTGCGATCGCGAGAGGAAATCTCGTTCTTCCTCATTGTCTTCCAGGCGTTCATCCAGGAGGGACTGGTCTAAATCTGATAAGGAAGACCAGAGCTTGTCATCTTTATCAAGCAGAGGGTCTCGATCGTACTACAGGTCCAGATCCAGGTCTAGATCTAAATCAAGGTCTTACTCCAGAAGAAGTTCCAGATCAAGATCAGCCTCTAAATCATTGCGATCTCGAAGTAGGTCGCGGTCAAGTTCTAACCCCAGGCAGCAAAAGACTGTTCCCAATTCTCCACGGAATATTTCAGCACGGTTAAATGACACTAAGCTGACCAAGCCTGCTGAGCCTGTCCGAGCAGTGATCCTGCCCAGTGACAAAGTTATCGTGCCACCAGTTGTCCCAGAAAACCTCCCTGTCATACCCTTAAGTGACAGTCCCCCACCTTCAAGGTGGAAACCTGGGCAGAAACCTTGGAAGCCATCGTATGAGCGAATTCAGGAGATGAAAGCTAAAACAACCCACTTAATTCCCACCCAAACTAATTACAATTTAGTGGTGGTTAAGGAGGCCAACACTTCTTCCTCCTACCGCAAGCAGGAGAGGAGCTCCGAGAGCGAGCGGAGCGCTTATTCCAAAGGCCGCAGCGACAGGAGCTCGGAGAGCTGGCCCAGGTCCAGGAGCAGGTCCTCTCGAAGCCGCTCCTACTCAAGATCTTACTCAAGGTCTAGAAGCCCATCGAGCTCCAGGACGAAATCTCCTTCCTCTGGCAGGTCACCGTCCCCCAGTAAATACCGCAGTGACAGGTCAGGGTACAGCGAGTCCACGTCCGACTATTCCCTCAGCGATGAGGACAGGCACAGGAGCAAAAGGAAATCCAGCGATCCCAAAGCTCGGGGCCTCAAACTGAGGCAGGAAACGAGCTCTGATAGCACTTTGCCTTACAAGCATCCAAAGGACTACGATGAGTCTTCCCAAGGGTTGAAGGAGAGCGACAGTTTGTCATCCTCAGACTTGTCCTCCGACAGCGAGCGCTCTGCCAAAGCCAAAGCGGTCCAAGAAAAAGAAAGCCGCTTTCCTTTAGAAGGGGATGCTGAGAAACAGGATAAAAATAGCTTAAGTTGTGAGAGAGGGGAGGAGAAAGGCAAGGGTGAGCGGGATTGTGATCACTCCAAAAAGAAAGCAGCCAAGGAGAAATGCTCGGAGCAGCCCAGAGGTGGTGCAAAAACAAAACGCAAATCCTACTCAGGTAGCAAATGGGACTCGGAGTCCAACTCTGAAAGAGGAGAGGCAAAGCATAACAGGGGAGATTCCAGACCCTCCTCTGGGAAAGAAGAAGGAGAGGCCACCTCAGGGTCTGACACAGAGCTTAGTGTTACCAAAAGGATAAAAAAACAATCCAATTCCTCAGAGGGCTTTTTGGGTTCTGACTGCACGTGGAAGACAAGCAAACAGTTGTCATCTTCTGAGTCTGAGAGTTCTTGTTCCAGCTCAGCAGACACTCGAGGCAAGTTGAAAAAACGCAAACGTGGCTTGAAAAAGACTCCTAAAAAATCACATTCCAAAAAAGCAAAAGAAAAATCGAAAGGTAAAAAGGAGAAAAAACACAAAGTCCAGAAAAGAAAAGAAATGTTTCATTGGCAGCCCCCCCTTGAGTTTGGGGAAGAAGAGGATGATGAGATAAATGAAAAGCCGGTTACCAAGGATGATAAAAAAGAAAAGCAGCTTAGCAGGGACATAAAGGATAAAAAACAAGTTTATGAAAAGGATGAAATAGTCACAGATAAAATGGGAAATGGTGAAAAGTCATGTGTGAATGAAAACCTTTTAGATAAAAACACCACATGTGGGGCCTCGCCAGATCGCAGCAACCTTAATAAAGAGCCCATTGAAACCAGCACTTCAACTGGTATTTTAAACTCAGGAATAAACGTGGCTGCCTGCAAGAGTGAGATTAAACAAGCTGAAGAAAATAACCAGAATGGGCTGGAAGATGTCATTCAGACAGATGACAACATGGAGATTTGTACTCCGGATCGTAACTCGCCAGGGAAGGTGGATGTGGATGTTTTGTCTCCTGTCATTCTCACTGCTAAACCTTTAAGTGCTGGTGTAAAAAAAGAGTTACAGGTTGAGACCCCTGAGCAAGATGCTGTCAAACTGGGAAACAACTTAAGAGACTTTACTAATATTAAAGAAGAAAAAGAAACGGGAAGGCAAGAAAATAACTCTGCCCCTGTGTCTGGTGCTAAAGACTGTAGTTTAAAAAGTGAAATTTCTGAAAATACACCAAGCAACATGATAGACAATAAATGGAAGCCTTTGCAAGGTGCTGGTAACTTAAAACCAGCAACAATCAGTATGACCACGGAGGTTAAAAATGTAGCATCAGCACCAGAGCCTAAACCAGCAGGTTTAAGAATTGAAATAAAAGCAAAAAATAAAGTGAGGCCTGGGTCTCTCTTTGATGAAGTGAGGAAAACAGCCCGGCTAAATCGTCGGCCGAGGAACCAAGAAAGTTCCAGTGAGGAAGAATCTCCGAGCAGGGATGACAACAGCCCTTCCAGGAGTCTCAGCAGGTCACGAAGCAAATCTGAGTCTAAATCCAGACACAGAACCAGGTCCATATCCTACAGTCACTCGAGAAGTCGATCCCGAAGTTCTACATATTCATACAGGTGAGAGGCGTGTGCTGCTCCCACCGCCAGCCCTGGCAGATTGAATGTTCTTGTCATTTCAAGGAATGCTTTTCAGGTTGTGGGTTTTGTTTTTTAACAGCCCTGTGTTATAGAACCACAGAATGGTTTGGGTTGGAAGGGACCTGAAACACCATCCATGGGCAGGGACACCTTCCATTATCCCAGGGTGCTCCAAGTCCCATCCAGCCTGGCCTTGGACACTTCCGGGGATGCAGGGGCAGCCACAGCTGCTCTGGGCACCCTGTGCCAGTGTGAAGTGGCCTCCTTGTCCTGTCCCTTCATCCCTTGTCTCAAGTCCCTTTCCAGCTCTTCTGGAGCCCCTTTAGGCCCTGGAAGGGGCTCTGAGCTCTCCCTGGAGCCTTCTCCTCTCCAGGGGAACATTCCCAGCTCTCCCAGCCTGGCTCCAGAGCAGAGGGGCTCCAGCCCTTGGATTAACTCAGTGGCCATATCATCTAGCGAGTATGGAATAAATATTTAGCTAGCAAGCTAAAGTTTCTTAACTTCTTCTGGTTCCTATTTTCTGCTGCTCTCCTCAGCTGTGTTCTCTCCTGTGCCCTTGGTTGTAGGTCCAGGAGTTACTCGAGGAGCCGGAGCCGGGGCTGGTACAGCCGGGATCGCTCCAGGAGCCGGAGCAGCTCCTACCACAGCTACAAGAGCCGTAGGTGAGTTCACCCAGCTACAAACTGTGCCAGATGTGTTCTCCTCCTCTTGTTCCCCCTCTCCCCCTGCTCTCTTCAGCACTTCTGGTTTCTGTTGACTAAAAATCCCTCTGTGGTTTTGATTTTGTCAGCCGGAGCTACAGCAGGAGCCGATCCAGGAGCAGTTCCTATGGGCACCACAGTCGGTCCAGGTATGGATTTGATGCCTTGTGAGAGCTGACCTAGAGCAGAGGCTGGACAGAGCTAAAGAATAAAGCAGGGATTTATTTAAAGGATCTCCTCCATGGATGCACCTTGGGCAGCACCAGAGCCCAGCCAGGGCTGCACCCAAGATGAACCAAAATGGCCCCAAAATGCACGAGCGCTCCCGGGGTCTCTCCCTTGGATCAGTTCTGCTCCATTTGCACCTTGCAGTTCATTGTCCCATTCCAGCTTTAGCCCAGGCAGTCCCACCCTGCTTGTTTTTCTCTCTCCAGCCCACGGTGTTTGTGCTCTGGGCTGAGATTTGGATCATTTGTCCTTGGTGCCCAGCTGGAGCAGGAATTGTTTTGTCTCCCTGCTCTGTGCAAAGAGCTCACCATGCCCTGATGTGAAGCTCAGACCCACACACTAAAGCAGCACAGAATCTGAGAAATACAAAAATGAAAACCTGAGGCATCAGATTGTCCTTTTTTACAAACTGCAAGAAATGTGCTGCCCATCAAATCATCATAGTATAAGTACTTTTATTTACATTTCTTTAAAATAGACGTTATATAATTATTGTATATGAAACTATTACATATCATGCATACTACCTATTTTATTATACACACTCTAATACAAATACATACCTAAATACATATTTATTTATTAAAATACTTTTTAAGATTACTTTTATTTCATAGAATCACAGAATGGTTTGAGTTAGACAGGACCTTAAAGATGATCCAATCCCCTGCCATGGGAAGGGGCACCCTCCCCTAGACCTGGGTGCTCCAAGCCCCATCCAGCCTGGCCTTGGACACTTCCAGGGATCTGTAGTACATAAAACTATTACTATAACATCATGATGGCAACTTGAATCAAAGCAAAATGAACACAAGATGCTTTCAAAAGTTGAAAATAACCAAACCATCCTGGCATTACAGTTGTAGGTAATGCTATAAGTAGCAGTGAACACATTACTTGGCTTGCTTTCCGAATTATCAGCAAAGAAGAATTTTACTAGGAAAAAAAGGGACAGCACAAAGCTTGATAAAGGTTTACTACGTCCTTCCTAATAAAATTTGAGAGTTTTATTGTTACTTTGAAGATTGTTGTTGTGTTGAAACCTTTATAAAGCGTAGAATTGTTTGCCACATCCTTGACAGTAATTCTTATACATCCCCTCATATGTCTATATAAATACCATTTAAAACAGCATTTTAGACCAGAAATTGTGAATTCAGTATTATTTTCCCCCCTTTAAAGCAGGTCCTACACCTATGACAGTTACTACAGCAGGAGCCGCAGCAGGAGCAAGAGGAGCGACAGCTACCGGAGATCTCGGAGCTACGACCGCAGATCCAGGTGGGTCTGACCCTGCTGGGCTGCACAAGGATTCGCTGAACACAAACAGAGGGTGTTGAACAAGGCCAGGGTGATGCTTTTTTCCCATAAGAATAAGAAATACACTCAGCAAAAGTAATAATTCAGACCAAATTCCAGTTAAAATCAGAGCGTGCATGCGAGCGAGGAAGTTGGAAGTCCTGACATTCCAAATATGAGGATGGGGAAGCAGCCAGGATAAGGAAAAGTTGATTTCCAGTTTATTGTATCCATGCATTCAAAATTAGCACCTTTTCCCAGGGAAATGATGAAGTCCCCATCCCTGGAAGTGTTAAAAACTTGTGGCAATGGCATTGAGGACATGGTTTAATAATGAAGACAGTGGGGCTGGGTTAGCTTGGTGACCTCAAAGGTCTTTGCCAACCCTAATGATTCTATGATTTGATTTATTATATTCTTTAAACAATACAAAGTGTTTCTTAAAACCCACATAGCTCACAAGATTTAACTCAAGTGCTCTCTTATGGATTAAAAGCTGCATGGCATGCAAAGAATTCCACTGTATGGTAAATTCTTTTTGGTTATGCTGCAGAAGTGGATCTAAAACAATCTGGAAGGGAAACTTAAAAGTTTTGCTGCAATCCAGATTTAATTTTTAACTTTGTAGAATGTATTTTGAAAGAATATTTTTACCTGCAAATCTGCTGAGTTTAGAATAAATTTTATTCTCCTCAGTCCAGGGGATTTATATAAGTGTAAGTGAGCACATTTCAGAGAGATCAGAGATATGGAAAGTTGTAGATACATTTAATATCACTGATGATTTGTTTTATAGCTTTTAATATACCCTCTATTAGTAATAAATCAAGTTGCTAAGACTACTGTACATTTTCATCCTCTCCTCATATGAATTTTTTCACAGCTTTATACCAACTCTTAATGGACTTTGCTCTCACCCATTTGCACAAGACAACTTTCATCTTGCGTTGGAGGGAAAATTAATGAGTTTTAATGAAGAATGTGAAAATAAACTTAAAAACCATTGCTTTATTAAGTTGAGGAGCTTCAGTGTGAGATTAGGAAACGCTCACCTTTCACTTAGAAAGCTTCTCTTACAGGCAGGGGGCTGGAAAATCTCTGAAAGCTTGTTCTGTGTAATCTGAACGTGTCCTGTGGCTTGTCTGAAACCATCTGGGCTCTGTGTTGACATTTGGCCAGGTGCTGAGCCTGGAATTTGTCTGGAGGAGCCAAAACATTTTAAATACAATTTCCACACTGCAGACACACAAACACACCTCTGTTGTGCTTATGGGGCCTGAGTTTTAAGACCCTCCTTCAAACAAGAAAATAAAATATATAAATCAAGGATTTGTGAAATTATCCTAGTTGAGAAATGCTTGCACTTCTTGTTGATTCCACTTGTTGAATACATTTCTCACTCAGCTCAATTAGCTTTTATAAAAACATTCATTTTGCATGGTTTTTAGCTGTAACAGAGCAAGAAGTTACAAACAGTTTGACTTGAGTCACACCGAGTTTTTACCACATGAATTTAATGATTATTTCCATTTTGAGTATCCTTTAATGAACCCTTCACTTACAAGAAATACAATCCTGTAAAAGACTGGTGTGTTTCCTTATCTGTGACAATTTTTTGACATGATGCAATTTTCAATTTGAAGCTCAAGCTGCAGCTTTGGGGCATTTAAATCTTTTTTTTCTCTCTGCAGATCCTACGGCTCCGACAGCGACAGCGATCGCAGCTACTCCAACAACAGGAGCCCCAGTGAGAGCAGCAGATACAGCTGAGGCTGTTCCTTGGAGGATGGAAACTCTGCTCCACACTTTTTTCAGTGTTATATTCAAAGAAACTCTTCTGACAGTGTCACAAGTGAAGGTTGTTTGCTGAATTAGCTGAAACTTTCCTGTTTAACAGTGAATTCAGCTCTGCTTGCAGAGAGAAGGACTGAGCTCGACAGCTGATGTTATTTTTTATTTTTTTTTTATGTCAAATGCAACTTTTACAAAGTAATAATTAAAAAAACCCCAGTTTGGTTTCCTTGAATCAGCTTTTCCAAGCCATGTATTACACTTAGGTGAATTGCTGCTGCCGCTTTTTGGGTGCAGCAGTCAGGACTGTCCTCAAGTCTGTTTATAAACACCTTAGGAGAGATGTGCTAGCAACTATTAAACTGTGAAGTCAATTTCTTAAAAAGGCTGCCATTTCTAGTTGATGAAAATGCTTTTTTTATTGCTGGAAGCTGTTTCCATTCTGTCTTGATTGTTGATTATTGCATTCTGTACAGGAAATAGGTGAGGAAAACAAAGCCTGCCACTCTGTCTTAATCCCTCCTGAACTGTGGTGTTCTGGAATTGTGCTGGAAAAGGTGAGCTGGTGCCCAGTGGGAATTGTCAAACTGACAAGCAGTGAGCAAAAGTGTGATGAATGAGTTTGGAGCTTAATATCCAACCTGTCTAAACTTTTTATGTTTAAAAGAGGAATTTTGTGATACACAGCAATGTCCTTCAGAGGCTAAAAATGTGTTTCTAAACACTTCCTGACTGATTTTCAGTTCCTATTACCGTGCTTGGCATCCTTCAACACATTTTAAATGTTGTAAGCCATGAGTTTGTCCAAAGCACTCTTTGAAACACTGACATGATGATAATTTTTTGAGAAAACCAGCCATAAAGGTTCCTTTATAAAAGCTCTGTATCCCATGCACCACAGGAATATCAGATACTGATATTGCAGATATTGAACTATATCTTGTTAAAGCAGGACTACAGAAATACTGGGGTGCCTCATAAAAAAACATGAACAACACCTTCAAAGTAAAGTTTAGTACCAAAAGTTACTCTTAAGTTCCAGGCAAATGCCTTGCAAAAATATAAACAGATTCAAGCTGAAGACCATTGAGTAATTCTTGCAATATTCTGATTCAGCTGATTTAAAATAATCTGTAAAGTTTTTGAGGGGGTTTAGGAAGTTGTATTCTGAGAACCAGATTTTTATTGGCATAATGTAACCTGAAAATTGGGGTCTGTGGTGACAAAACCAACGTGGTTTGATTAGAATTAATGAGCACTGTTGTACCATACTGACTTCCTGTAATATCTGGACATGCTTTCATTTGCTCATTTTCAAATACTGGAAATTATTTTTCTTAATCTCATCAGGACCCAGCAGCTCTGAAAATTAAAAGTGGTAATTTCTCGCTGAGGCATCAATTCCTTCTCTCTTTGATTGAATTAAGCTCCCCAAAACTTGATGATTTTTTGGTACACTTATGAAAAGCAAGTTCAAAGGGAGATGGGGATGATTGCCTCCATTTCTGTCCACCCACAGCACATTCCTGACATTGGATTGGCCATGGAGGTTTTTCACTTTTCTAGAAGTACCCAAAACTCTGCTCTTACCCCTTTCCTGCACTTAAGAATTTAGTGACAAAGTGTTTGCATGCAACCCTCCCACCCTTTGGTAAACTTTTTATGCTTTTTAGCATTAAGTACATTTAATACCCAAGCCAGGATACATTTACAAATGTGTTTCTAACAGCAGCAGAGTCCTGAACAAACATTTCAATGATATTTGTTGTAGTTTCATCATTTTCAGTACAGCTGTAACTTGTTTTTTTCCCTAAGAAAATAGAACTAGAGGGTTCATGGTGTTACAAAATATACAAATATAACCATTACTATTCAATACCTATTAGAGAAAATATTGCTACAGAATCAAATTTTTATCGTATTTCAGATCTAATTTGACTTTTTAAGGCCAGGAAAAGGTAATAGAAGTATGGTCAAACAATTAATTGTAGTTATCAAAAATTACTGCACTCTCACTAAAATCTTTCATATCTTTAGTCACTGGTTTATAAAGAAATTCCATCAGGTAGAGAATGGTTGGGGAGGGGTTGAGGGAAGGGCTGGGGGTATTTTTACTTAGTGAAATCTGTTAAATTGTGCTTCAGATGGAAAATGTCCCCCTGAGCTGGTTTTCTAACGCTGCTCTATGTTTTTGCAATTTTGTTATTCCAAAGTAGTTGCTGTTTGTAAAATAAACTTTTGTACATATCTGCAAATGCTGTTTTCTCTACATCTGGAGAAATCCGTGGTGCTGCTTGAAGGAAACAGGCAGGAAAATGAAAAATACACTTTCAGAATCCACTTTTGTCCCTTGCAAGACTCAGAAGTTGCTTTTCCTTTTCTTGACCTACATAGGGGAGCTGTTCCTCAGCAGGACTCTGGGTTTACATAATAGTCATTGGAGGAACAAATATTTTGAAATTTCCAAGTGATTTGAGGTCTCACCATTTCCTCAAGATCTATAAAAGGTTCCTCTCCTTGGTAAAGAGAAATTCTTAACAGATCTCCACAGAAATCTGGGAATGGGCTGAGCTTATGCACTCTGCTGAATCTCTTCTCCCAAATACACATTCCCAGACCATTCCCTCAGCATTTTGGACATGTGCTGTCAGCCCAGGGCAGCAGATGTGGTGCCTTGCAGGCTGATCCATCAGGATTTCAGACCTTCTGCTCCACAGAATCTGGACTGCAGTGGAAATGAAATCATTTGATTTCATTGAAATGATTGAAATGAAACTGGATTGCAGTGGAAATGCTGCCTTTGGCACGAGGTGAGGAGGAGGAGGGGAGGTGGTTCCTTGGGGTTTGAGGTTTTCAGTGTGACCTGGATAACCTGGCAGTGCCTGACCTTGGGGGGCAGTGGCACCACCACGGAGCAGATGAAACAGTGAGTGTTGGACCAGCTCTTGTGTCCCAGGGCAGCTTAAACCAGCTTGTCATGGAGTGACTTGGTTGGAAGGGACCTTAAAAGGGACCTTAAAGCCCACCCAGTGCCACCCCTGCCATGGCAGGGACACCTTCCACTGTCCCAGGGTGCTCCAAGCCCATCCAGCCCGGCCTTGGACATTCCAGGGATCCAGGGGCAGCCGCAGCTGCTCTAACAGATCTGTGCCATTGCAGAGAAAATTGGGAATTTATTCCCATTGTCTCATCTAACCCAGTCCTCTTTCAGTTTGAAGCCATTCCCTGTGTCCTGACCCTCCATCCCTCGTCCTCTCCAGCTCTCCTGGAGCCCCTTCAGGCCCTGCCAGGGGCTCTGAGCTCTCCCTGGAGCTTCTCCTTTCCAGGTGAGCATTCCCAGCTCTCCCAGCCTGGCTCCAGCCCTTGGAACATCCCAGGGCTGGACACAGCCCTGCAGGGTGGGGCGGAGGGGCAGAATCCCGTCCCAGCAGGGTGTTGGAAGTAGTCACCAGCCTTTATTTCAATAACACAATGTTTTGGGTGCTTCCAGAGCTGCAGGAGTCAATCCTGGGGATCCCAGGTGCTGCTGCTGTGGAGGTCACACTGTCACCTTGAGCTGGCTGTGCAGGCAGGGCTGGGTAAAAATAGAGTGGTGACACCCAGGCATGGACTGCTCAGGATTGAAATCCTGCAATCAAGTGAAATCAGGGCTCAATTAGGAGTGATTTCATCAAAAAGAAAAAAGAAAGGTTCTAAGCAAGGTTTGGTGTGCAGGTCTGGGGTTTTTCTGGGAATGGGTTATCCACAGGATGTTGTGGAGTGGCTCTGTCTCCAGTTGCAGGTGAATGCCTTGTCTCACATTAAATGACCCATCTGCCTCTCCAACAACTACTTATGAATCCCAGATTTACAGAGCCACAGCATAAACACACTTTCCCTGCAGACCCTGTGCCAAGAGATTCCCTTCGCACTCTGTCAGTCCAAACAAGGGCTGTTTGTGCTTGCACCCCAGGGGAAGGAGCATTCCCAGGGCCCTTCCCCAGGATCCCTGGGTCTGTGGGATCCTGTGGATTGAATTTCTGCTCTGGCTTTGTGTGGTTCCTGATGATCCCACCCAGAGCAGAGCACCGTGTTTGGATGACCTTGGGCTGCACCCTGCAATCCCATCAGCTGTCATTCCCAAAGGGAACACTGCCTGGGATTTAAATCAGGAGGAAATCAAGCTCTGCGTGCCCCACCCCTGCTTCACATCCATGGAAATAATGCTTTTTTAGGTGGTGGTGGTGGAACAGGAATGATTTTCCACCTGGTACATTAAAACTGCTTACAAATCATCTGAACAATTAAAGGGACCCAGGCCTGAATTTCATCCTATCCATGTAATTCCTGGGAAGTGGATGGGATTGCATGAGTGGAATCAGAGGGCCTGTGGCACGTTTGGGGAAGCTTTTTAATAAAGGTAATCAATTTTTGGGTTTGAGTTCTGCAAAGATGCTCTTTCTTCAGGCTTTGAAGCTGTATTCATCTCTTTCTGTATAAGGAATTGGTGTTGCATTAATTGCTGCATGTAATTAGAATTGGAAGTGGATGCACAAAGAAGGGATTTGCATTAATTTGGGATTAATTGATATTTCTGCCATGTACCTGTCTGTGGCATTGTGCGTTTTTCCAAGTTTTATTTTTTTTTCCTCACGGAAAGGGTGCTCAGGCATTGGAAGAGGCTGCCCAGAGCAGTGGTGGAATCCCCATTCCTGGAAGCACTCAGAAAATGTCTGGATGTGGCGCTGGGGGACAGGGTTTGTGGTGAACAGTGTTGGGGTAATGGTTGGACTTGATTTTGGAGCTCCTTTCCAACCTTAAGGATTTTGTGATTCTGGCACGGAGAGTTGTGAGCTCAACACAGCTTGTGAACACTTGCAGCTCCCACTCTGCCATCATGTCCCAGTCCTGGCCTCAGGCTGCAAAATTCCTTAATTAATTCCTGCAGACAGGAAGGGGCTGCCCTCCCTCTTGGGGCTGCTTTTGCTTCCAGCTCATGGTGCACCCTGTGAGGGAGGATGAGGAAGGTCCTTCCCCTCTTCTTGGTGCCTTGGCCACACACTTGGGCAATATCCACATAATTTTACCCCAATGAATTTTGGCAAATGAAAATGATGCCTCAAGTTTCAGCTTTTATATTTTCAGATTCTGTGCTGCTTCAGTGTGTGGGTCTGAGCTTCACATCAGGGCATGGTGAGCTCTGTGCACAGAGCAGGGAAACAAAACAATTCCTGCTCCAGCTGGGCACCAAGGACAAACGATCCAAATCTCAGCCCAGGAGCACAAACACCGTGGGCTGGAGAGAGAAAAACAAGCAGGGTGGGACTGCCTGGGCTAAAGCTGGAATGGGACAATGAACTGCAAGGTGCAAATGGAGCAGAACTGATCCCAGGGAGAGACCCCGGGAGCGCTCGTGCATTTTGGGGCCATTTTGGTTCATCTTGGGTGCAGCCCTGGCTGGGCTCTGGTGCTGCCCAAGGTGCATCCATGGAGGGTTTTAATAAATCCCTGCTTTATTCTTTAGCTCTGTCCAGCCTCTGTGCTAGGATGAGGGGGAACGGCTTCAAACTGAGAGGGAATAGGTTTAGATTGGATATTAGGAATAAAGTCTTGGCTATGAGGGTGGTGAGGCCCTGGAAAAAGTTTCCTGGAGCAGCTGTGGCTGCCCCTGGATCCCTGGAAATGCCCAAGGCCAGGCTGGGCAGGGTTTGGAGCACCTGGGACAGTGGAAGATGTCCCTGCCTATGGCACTGGATGATCTTTTAGGTCCCTTCCAACCCAAACCATTCTGGGATTCTGTGATAATTTTAGGGATCATGTTGGAAATCTCATATTCCACACAGACCTAAAGGTCCTCCACCTCTGCCTAAATAGGAATCACCCTCAGCCCATGGGCTCTAGACCCTGGGCTTTACCTCTCCCTTCTTCAAAGATCAGATCTTCCCCTTGTCTCAAACAATTGTTCATTTTAAAAATGAAAAACTGTAAAAACCAAGCCCAGGAGAGAGGGAGGGTGTCAAGGACTCTCTGTTCTCATCTGTGGGGAGCAGGGCTGGTGCGTGGGAGCCCTTGCAGGGACTCTGAGGTGCATTTTGGTTTCCCTGTGCCACCAAAGCCCCAGAGAATCATCTGGGACAATTCTCTGCTCCCGAGAGCTCCCAGGTTGCTGTGGGGATGTGATTCCCTTCTTTGGCAGGGTTGGTTATCACAGCAGGGAGAGCTGTCTGAGCAAAATCTGGCCAGCAGTGCAGAATGGGAATGTGAGCTCACATCACCTCAAACCCAGGCTGCCTGCTCGTGTCTCTGGTGGGATTTTTGATTGCAGGAATGCAGCAATGCACCTCATTCTATTAAACCAGCAGGGAAAACACAGCAAAAAAAAAAATCTGTTTTATCAGAACTGCTCTCTGTACCAAAACCCACATTTTGATGGAGGAATCCTGCTTTAGCCGTGGATTTCCTGCTGACTTTCTGCAGGAAGCTGCATGGATTCCATGCTCATCTTTCATTTCCATGAATAGCTCTGAACTGACACCTTTCCCAAGCAGTTTGTGCCAGAGAACATGGCAAAAAAGGGCCCTTTTCAGCTCTGCACAGTCTCCTCCTTTGCAGAGTCAGGATCAACTCCAGCTGTACAAATCACAGCACTTCTTATCCAACCAATCTACGAAAAAATTTTCAGGGCTGATATTGAGCAGTTGGGCTGCCAAAACCAGAATTGCCTGAACTATGCACTCTATTACAAAAATAAAAAATAAAAAAAAAAAACAGATCCAAAAAAGAAACCAAGGCAAAACTCCCAACTTTGTTGTTGTTGTTGTTGTCTAAATTAAAGCTCCTTTTCTGTTGCATAAGCCCGTCACTGCTGGTCACAGAGAGGAAGAGAACAGCCTATTTCCTTCTAAGAAAATCAACTGCAATATGCAAACAGAGAATCTCAGAATGGTTTGGGTTGGAAGGGACCCTGAAGTTCATCCCATTCCTTCCCATGCCATGGGCAGGGACAACTTCCACCATCCCAGATTGTTCCAAGCCCCATCCAACCTGGCCTTGGGCACTTCCAGGGATCCAGGGGCAGCCACAGCTGCTCTGGGAATTCAATTCCAACCCCTCAGCACCCTCACAGGGAAGAATTCCTTCCCAAAATCCCATCTAACCCTGCCCAGGCAGTGGGAATCCATTCCCCCTTGTCCTGTCACTCCAGGCTCCTGTAAATATTTAAATAAAGGGAACAGACTGCCTTAAATATTTGTAACAGCTCTAAGGTAACTCTTGCCCAAACCTGGTCTTCTCTGCAATAAATACCTCCAAATCTTTTAATTATTTTGGGGGAGCTTGAGGGATTTTGGAGTTTGGGTGAGTTTGTTTGGATTTCTTTTTTCCAGCTTCTGTGATTGATCCACCACCAGCCCACAACCTCCCCAAAATCCCTATATCTCTGCAAACAACCCACTCCTGGTGAGGATCCATGGATCCACAGGGATCTAAATCCCCTCTCCACGTGTCCTGCAGGCAACCTTGACCTTCCCTTGCCTGTGGTTTGCTGCTTGTCCCTCAGAACAAGGATTGCTGCCCATCCCAGGCAGTGGGAATCCATTCCCCCTTGTCCTGTCACTCCAGGCCCCTGTAAATACTTAAATAGAAGGGAACAGACTTTAAATATTTGTAACAGCTCTAATGTAGCTCTTGCCAAAACCTGGTCTTCTCTGCAATAAATAACTCCAAGTCCTTTGTTTATTTTGGGGGAGCTTGAGGGGTTTTTGGTGTTTGGGTGAGTTTGTTTTTATTTCTTTTTTCCAGCTTCTGTGATTGATCCACCACCAGCCCACAACCTCCCCAAAATCCCTATATCTATGCAAACAACCCACTCCTGGGGTTGTTTGCATAGATATGGTGAGGATCCATGGATCCTCAGGCATCTAAACCACCTCTCCACGTGTCCTGCAGGCACCATTCACCTTCCCTTGCCTGTGGTTTGCTGCTTGTCCCACATCCCAAGCAGGGATGTGACACCTCTGCCCCATCCCTGCTATTCCATTCCCTCCCCAGCAGCCCAGCTCCTCTTATACAAGCAGCATTTTCCCTTTGTTTCCCCTAAATTGCAGACTATTTGATTTTTTCCAGACTGCCTCAAGCTTGTTTTGAAGCCCCAGCCCATCCTCCAGAGCTCCCTCCCTCCTCGCTATCATTTGCAGCTGGAAGAAGAAGCAAATTCTCTCTATTCATGCAAGTAATTATTAAAAAAATATTTTGAGCAGCACCAGGCCTGGGACAGATCCCCAGGGAGTCCCAGGCTGTGCATCTCCTCGTTTTCCTGGCAAATCACAAATAACTGCTGTGAGCAATGTTCCCTCCTTGCAGCACTCATCTGTCCCTGCCATCTTCCCTCCTCCAGCTGTGCAGGGATGTGAGCAGGGGCTGCCTGGTGTTTTAAATATAATTGGAACTTCAGCTTCTGGTTTTGGGTCTTCTAAAACCTTCCTGAAGGTGCCCATGGTTTGTTTTCCATTCCCATCCTTGCAGCCTTGGTGTTTCTAAACCCCACTGTGAATTCAGCTGTGAAAAGGTTGAATTTCTGTCTGAATTTAGGGTGAATTTTCTACCCTGAGACACCTCTTGGAGGTCTTGACATCACCTCTGTGTCCTCAGGATCGTAGAATTAGGGAAAAACTTGAATTGGAAGGGACCCTAAAAGTTCATCCACTCCTGCCCACTGTTGTGGGCAGGGAACCTTCTCTGCCGAATATTTTAGCACAAATTCCAGCAGGTAATGGGGATTTTTGGCACTAATATAAAAATATAAATCAGACTATTTCTATGGGATCTTCATCCTGGAATTTTTCTTATTTTGATGTTTTGTTTGGTTTTTTTTGTTGTTGGTTTTGGGGGTGTTTTGTGGTTTTGCATTTGTTTTTCTGGGTTTTTTTTTTTTCTGTGTGGGTTTTGGGGATTTTTTGGGGTTTGGTGGTTTTAGGTTTTTTTCTTTTTTGTTTGGTTGGTTTTGGGGGTTTTTTTGTTTGGTTTTTTGTTGTTGTTGTTGTTGTGTTGTTTTGATTTTTTGGATTTTTTTTTTGTTTGGGGCATTATATAACATGGCTTAGGCAGGGGAGGAAAACTCTCTGGATGTTTCCTGTACATGAATATTTCCAGAGTAAGATGCTTTCTTGTCTTTCACATTACCAATTTCACAGGATCCCAGAACGGTTTGGGTTAGAAGGAGCCTTAAATCCCATCCCATCCCACCTCCTGCCATGGCAGGGACACCTTCCACTGTCCCAGGGTGAATCCAAGCCCTGTCCGATGTGGCCTTGGACACTTCCAGGGATCCAGGGGCAGCCACAGCTTCTCTGGATACTCCTCTTTTGATGGATCCTGTGCATTTCAGGGACCCAAAAGCCAGAGGGGAGAGAAGGGTGTTGTGAAATTATTGCAGTTCCTATATATCTGCTTTGCAACTCCAGCACTTCCACAGCAGCCTTAAAAATCAGGATTATCTACAGAAAAAAAAAGTAAGAATTTTTTCTAAAAAGACAGGTAAAAGGCAGGACTGATAATGGGGGGTTTGAAAGGTGGGGGCTTCATTCTGTGCTGCATCCCTGAGCAGAAACTCCTATTTGGGGCAAAGTTTCCCCAACTCCCTGGAGACTCTCTTGAGTATTAAATGCATCTCTGGGTATTTCCTGTAATTCTTGATAATTATTTCAATCAAGGTATCAATTTGTGACTTCCTGACTAATGAAAAGCTGCTCCTTGCTGCATTCTCCTTAGATATGCAAAGCTGCCTTGGGGCTGCCAGCCCCGTGCTGGGCAGAGCCTGCAGATGCACACCTGGCAAACCCAGGGGTGACACCAGCGCCCTTCAGAGCTGCCACAGGAATCCACCCTGAGCTGTGCACACAGGAACCATTCCATCACCTTTGCTGTGGATTGGATGGGGGATGAAGCTTATTGTTCATTTAAGTTTATGGTTTATTTATTGGTGAAGGCTGCAGGTGCTGAGCACTGATCCAAGCGCATCTCGCTGCCTTTGGGAGAGTCTGTCCCATTTTTTCTGTGGGTTTATCAAAACTCTTGGTCTTTTCCAGAAGCAAAAGGAGGTAACACACTCCAAGATCAGGTTTTGGAGCATCCTGGTCTAGTGGAAGGTGTCCAGGCAGGGGATGAGCTTTAATGGGGAGACCCTGAGGGGCATCCCCTAATTTATACCCCATGGGCTCCTTGCCCTGTTCCTATGTCTGTTCCTGTGTTCCTGAGCCACTCCCTCCCATTCCCCTGATTGTCCCTTATCTTTGTACTGCCCCAAGATCAGAGTCAGCCCCCAGGAACCTGGATAGAAACAAAGCTGGACCCTGAATGTGTCTGGGACCCGACCATCTCACCACGCAGCTGAATTAAACATCTGTGGATATTCTGCAAAAGCCCTTTTTGCTTCTTTACCTTGGACTTTACTAGACAAGCAAGGAGATCACATTTCATCATCACAGAGAAACGCTGTTTGGAGCATCCTGGTGTAGTGGGAGGTGTCCAGGAGGGCACTGATGGATGAGGATCCTGAACACAGCCAGGCCATGGGAAGCAGCGAGGGCTGAGAGCAGAGGATTTGGGAATTTTCACACAGACTTCACAAAGAATGCCACATTTTACACAAATCACCACTGGTTATTTACATCTGGCCCCAGGACAGCCCCTCCACTCCTCAGCTCTCCACAGGCTCTGTCTCCATCCTGAGCTTTTTGCTTGTTCTTCAAAGAACTCTTTCTCTCCTTTGCTCACAGGTTGTTTTTTATTGTATTTCTGCCTTCTCATAATCAATGCCATCCATGGCAGCAGTGGCACAGGTGATGGCCTCAGGTAAAAAACACATCTGAGATGAATCTGATGCCATCCCCCAGGATCTGCTGCAGGTTCTTGGTGCCCATCTCTCCTTCAGGTACCCAGTCACCAGGTCCAGCTGCTCCTCATTCTCCAAATGGGTCTCCACAGTGGTTATGTACCAGCTGGAATTCAGGAATTTCTTCAGCCAGCAGGGTTCTTTCCTGTTGGGGTGTTGTGAGGGTCCCCAGGACGAGGTGAGAAATAAGAATCTGACTCCATCCCTCTCAATATATTATATTATATTATATTATATTATATTATATTATATTATATTATATTATATTATATTATATGCTAAAACTATACTAAAGAAAAAGAAAGAGAAGGAGAAAAGAAAGAGAAGGCTAGAAAGGAATGAATAATAAAAACTTGTGACTGGCCAGAGTCTCGACACAGCTGGATTGAGATTGGTCATTAATTAAAAACAATTCACATGGAACCAATCAAAGATGCACCTGGTGGTGAGCAACCTCCAGACCACATTCCAAGCAATCAGATAATTATTGTTTACATTTCTTTTCTGAGGTTTCTCAGGAGAAAAATCCTGGCAAAGGGATTTTTCAGAAAATATCAAGGTGGCAGTTTCCCACTTTTCAAGATCTCCAGGAGATGCTTTAGTCTTCATCATGAACTCCACCAGCTTCTTGTTCTCCCTGTCCCTGGCAGCTCTGGTCCTCTCAGGGAGGAATTTCCTCAGGGGTTTCTGGGGAGAGGTGTCTGTCACCGTAGGACACAAAATAACACGGCATGGACACGAAGTTTTCTGATGGTGAAAAAAGCAATTTTAATTTCTGACTCCAATGTTTATAGATTTCCAATAGGGAAGTGGATTGGAGGGTGACAGTGCCACCTCTCCAATGACACTGGACAAACCAACAGTCCATCAAATTTCTCCTCCTCCATAAAAGAATGCAAAACAATAAATTATTTATATAAAGTGTGTGAGAAAGTTAGTTATAAGAATGTAAATATCAGAAGGCTTAGAAAAACTTAAAAAACCAGGGCAACAGGTGTCTGAGGAAGACTGTCCAGCCCCTTCCTCCCCTGTGTTGGGGAATGCCATCTGCAGCACACTCTGGTATCCCTCCTTCCTCACTGGGTAGCTGATGGCAGCAGCAAAATATTCCAGGAAGGAGCAGGTGGAAGAATGAGAGCCCAGTGGGATCTGACAGTCCAGGATCAGCTGGAGGCACCCCTGGATTTCCCTGGAATAATTCCCTTGGCTCCTTCAATGAACTCCTGCTTCTCCTCACAGCCAAAGTGCTGCAGGCTCTTCAGAGACACTGAGGAACTTTTTTCTTCTCTTTTGTGGTGCCATCTATGAAGAGCCTTTGGGTGCTTCCTCTTCCCTGCTTTGATCACTTTGGCCAGTACAGACACCACCACAGCCTGCACCACACCAGCATCCCTTCCTCCAGGAATTTGGGTTCTCAATGGGACAGAACACTTGGGAAATTTTACTCCTCTTTGGTGGCCCTTTAAGGTCCCCTCCAACCCAAATCATAGGACTCCACAATCTCTATAATTTGATAATAATCTCACATTCCGTGATCTCATCACCTTCAGGATTTGCTGCCCCTGGTTCATCAGCTTTTGTTTTGTCTCCCTGCTCTTTGCAGAGAGCTCGCCGTCCCCTGATATGAAGCCCAGACCCACACACTAAAGCAGCACAGAATCTGAAAATATAAAAGCTAAAACCCGAGGCATCAATAGGATGAGGGGGAATGGCTTCAAACTGAGAGGGAATAGGTTTAGATTGGATATTAGGAATAAAGTCTTGGCTGTGAGGGTGGTGAGGCCCTGGAAAAAGTTTCCTGGAGAAGCTGTGGCTGCCCCTGGATCCCTGGAAGTGCCCAAGGTGTAAAGCAGCTGCCCCATCCCAGTGGTCATTAATTGTTCTTTCTTCTTCTCCATCATCACTGTGCTCCCCTTGGAGATCAGGGCTGCAGAGTTATCAAAATGAGAACACATAAAGGTTTCCTGCAGCAACAAAGTGATGCCCTGAGCATTGGATGTGTGAAGGGCAGGCTGAGAAATAACAATTTCTTGTCTTTCTCTTTTTAGCTGCCACCTTGAACACTCCTTGGCCACGTGCTGAGCCGGTGATTTCTGGGGGCAGTCCAAGATCTCAGCTCGTGGTGCCAGTCCCAGCCTTGGCACAGCACCAGAGTTGCTCAAATCTTTTTTTCTCCAGATGCTTTGCTTTATCTATTCCTACCTCAAAGCTTATTTGAAATTTCTTCTCACCTTTTTCTGTTTTTTAAGAGCCTTTTGGAGTTTCTTGCCCTCAGCGTGGCACTTGGTGCTCTCAGAAGGTCTCTCCTGCAGAAATGGAGATGTGGGGCTGCTCTGGCTCCTGCAGGTTGTGGGTGAGGATGTTGAAAATCCCTGGACTCAATCTTTGCTCTACCACACCCTGGACTCATTTCCATCCCAAAAAATGACTGTTGAAACCTCTTGCTTTCTGTCTTTTTCACCAGTTTTCAAGCAACAAAAGGACCTTTCCTCCAGTCATGTGGCAACACAGTTTCTTTAATTGTCTTGTGAAGGGCTTTAAAAAAAATAAAATAAGTAAAATCCTATGGTTTTCCCACCTGGATCATAGAATCTCCATGTGCTTTATCAAGAAAAGGTTAAATTTTACTAAATTTACTTTTGTCCAGTGCCCTGAACATCACAGGGGTTAAATTGTTCGTGCAGCAAAGCAGTAGCCAATAATGGATGGAGAAAGGCCTGGTGGGAGAATAAAAATATTTCATTCCCCAAAATGTTGAAACTGCCAAGTCAAGTTGTTAATAGAGATTGTTCCTCCAACACAACAGCAGTGAGGACAACTTGGCTTGGGCTGCTTGGCTTGGCTCGGCTCGGTGCATGCAGAGCACAGACCTTGGTTGTAAAACCTGCTCTTAAATAACTCTCAAATCAGCCCTTTTCCACCCAAAAGGAGCACCTGGCAATGCTCTGCTGTAACTCATCCAGAGGGATGAGCAGAGCCAGCTCCAAAAGCAGGGTCATGGCAGCTGCTCCATGATCTCCTCATCTGTAACACATTTACGTGACCCACCTGCCCCTGGAAGTGCCCAAGGCCAGGCTGGACAGGGCTTGGAGCAGCCTGGGATGGTGGAAGGTGTCCCTACCATGGCAGGGGGTGGAAATGAATGATCTCCAAGGTTCCTTCTAGCTCAAACCATTCTGGAATTCCATGAGGACATCCCCCAGGGCCCCAGTTCTGATGAGTCTCACCGCTAACGGTGTCTGCCAAGATCAGCACAGCCGGGGATGCGCAGACGCTGAGGCCACGCTGGGCCAGGCAGCGGGCACAGACCCAGCACAGCCTCACCTGGCCCCAGCTGTGCCAGCCAAGGAGCGCTTCTCAAAGTCCAGCAGCTGGGCAGATGTTTGGGCTGTGGTGGATGCAGCTCCAGTGCATCCCTCTGGCTGTCCTGAGCAGCCCAGACCCCTGCCAGGGGGCTCAGAGACCCTGGCACAGAGCCCAAAATGCTCCTGTGGGTTTGATTATGATCCATGGAGCAAGTTACCAACCTTAGATGAAGATCTGCAGGCCATGACAAATTAAATAGAATGATAGCAAATTTATCACAAGGTGAAAAAGCAGATTTTAGGGTTTTTGGTATGGGGGTTCAGGAGGCAAGATGGAGGAATCTGGGCGTGTCCAGCCTTTCTCCTTCTTCTTCTTGGCCTCCATCTTCTGCTGTGATGGTGGCACTTTGGGATTGGTTTAGAGTAGAAGCTCACTGTCTGACATAGGTGATAGGGATTGGGAAGTAATTGTAAATATTGTACACGTAGTTTTTAGTATAAAGACATAACACTGCCCTGGGGGCAGGCAGAGTGCCTGGAACTGTCCTGCTGAACAGACCTCAGCTGGACTGGAGAAAGAATTTTATAGATAAGATGCAATAAACCACCTTTAGACTGAGAACTGAAGAGCTCTGACTCCTTCTTCGACCGCCGGGCTGGGAAAAGAGACTTTCCAACTTTTCTCGGGGTCACTCTGAGCAGCGAGAGACCCCAACACGCCAGGAAGCTGCTCCAGTGTGGGCGCATTCCCCCACAGACCCACAGGTGCTGCCAGGAGCCTGCCCCAGTTGGGCTCCCCACGGGGTCACAGGGGGCTTTGAGCATCCCCCAGCTCCAGCGGGGGCTCCTCCATGTCCTGCAGGTGGATCATGGGCTGCACCATGGAATCTCAGGGGAATCACAGCTCCAGCACCTGCAGCAGCTCCTGCCCCTCCTCTTGGGGATGTGCAGGGATGTTCCTCTCACATATCCTCACTCCTCTTGATACTTGTGAAGGCTGACCTAGAACAGAGACTAGGTTGAGCTAAAGTAGGGATTTATAAAACCCTCCATGGATGCACCTTGGGCAGCACCAGAGCCCAGCCAGGGCTGCACCCAAGATGAACCAAAATGGCCCCAAAATGCACGAGCGCTCCCGGGGTCTCTCCCTGGGATCAGTTCTGCTCCATTTGCACCTTGCAGTTCATTGTCCCATTCCAGCTTTAGCCCAGGCAGTCCCACCCTGCTTGTTTTTCTCTCTCCAGCCCACGGTGTTTGTGCTCCTGGGCTGAGATTGGGATCATTTGTCCTTGGTGCCCAGCTGGAGCAGGAATTGTTTTGTCTCCCTGCTCTGTGCACAGAGCTCACCATGCCCTGATGTGAAGCCCAGACCCACACACTAAAGCAGCACAGAATCTGAAAATATAAAAGCTAAACCTGAGGCCTCATTCTGTCTGCAGCTGCAGGGGTTTTTCTCCACTTCCTAAATCTGTTTGCTCCCATCTCTGGTGGGTTCAGCTTTGGCCAGGCTGGGTCAGTCCTGGCTGGAATTGGCTCTGCTGGACATGGGGGAAACTTCCAGCAGCTTCTCACAGAAACCACCCCTGAAGCCCCCCCACTACCAAAACCTGGCCACCAAACCGAATTCATTTCTCCAAGCATTTTTTCTTAAATTCTTGGATCTTCTCATCGCTGCGTGCTAACTCAAAGGTTAAAACTTCCTAACGTTGGTATTAGCAAACATAACATTAAACCTGGAGATCACAAAATTGGTAGAAAAAAAAGCCTAGAATCCAATATGAGCTCCTCTGAGAATTAAAACCTGGCTGCTGCTGGATCCAGGAGATACCCGTGGGTGGATAAATTCTTGGGTGCATGAAAAATACAGAAAAATACAGGAAGATACAAATTCAACGGGGTTTCTATGAGTCAGGGTGTGGATTCCCCTCTCTGCCTTAGCCAAACAGAGGCAAAAATTATTCCTGGTGAAAATGCCACCTGCCACGGGGTAGAGAGGCTTTTGCAGCTTTGGGAGGTGGTGGTTCCATCCCAGGCAGCAGATTCTGGGTCAGCCAGGGCCGGGGTTTGCAGCAGCGGATGGATGGGCTTGGCACAGACGTCGTGCTTGAGAGTGGAGTAACAACGTCTTCCCTGCTTGGATCACAGCCCTTCCACAGCCCAGGGCAGGATAAACACCAGCCCAGAGCAGGATAAACACCAGCACAGCCACTGCTGGAAGGGGAACAGCTCGGGGGGCTTCACCCTCTGAACCTGCTCCCCACCCCACGATGGGAGGGTTTCACCTGGACCCAGCCAGCCTTGTCTGGATCATCACTTTTCGTTTTAAATGTCTTTTTTTTTTTTTATTTTTTTAAATTTTTTGGGGGGGGTGGCTTTGGTTTGGGTTTTTTTGTTTGTTTGTTTGGGGGTTTTTTTGGGTTTTTTTTTTTGTTTTTTTTTTTTTTGGTTTTTCGTTTTTGTTTTTGCTTTGTGTTTGGTTTTTTTGTTTGTTTGTTTTGTTTTTTGGGTTTTGGGGTTTTTTTGGTTTTTTGGTTTTTTTTTGCTTCCCCCTCTCCCCGGTTTGGAGGCAGAAGTGAGAACTCCGAGAAAGAGAGAGAGAGAAAAAAAAAAAAAAACACAAAAAGAAAAAAAAAGAAGAGAAGAATCGGGGTCAACACGAGCAGCAGTATTTCAGTCGTCCTTTGAGAGCTTGTCTATACTCACTGTGGGTGTTCTCCTTGCAGGCACTGAGCAGGAGATGTTTTCCCTTAGTAGGGCAGGATCCTGGGCTCGGCCCTCCTCGCCTGGCCATAAAAGGGCAGCGTTTTCTGCAGGACCCCCGGGTCCTCCGGGGGCTGGCGGGATTTTGGGAAGGGGCCTGCCCCAGCACTGCTTGCTTTGGACCTCACAGCCCTCGTGTTAGTGCTATTTTGGCTCCTTCTTTTCTTGTGCCTTTTGTTTTGTCTCCCTCCTCCTCCTGCTCCTCTCAGGAGGTCGGAGGGAGAGAGGCCAGACAGCCTCCAGGAATGTTCTTGCTTCCCCTATTTTTTATTCTTTCTTTCTCCCTCCCTTGGCCTGATTTGATCCCTTCTTTTCCATGATCCTGCTCAGAAAGCCAGTGCTGAGTGAAAACCTCTGGCCAAGCCCAGGATATGTCCCTGACCACGTCCCCAGCCTCCATCCTGTGTCCCAAGGGAATTGGGAGGGCTCTTCCCTCCTGCTCTGCCCAAAGCCTGACCCTCTCAGGAAGGGGGGACACCACAGAACCTCCTCTCACCATCTCCTGGAGCTCCTCCCCATGGGAATTCCAGCCTAGGGGAGATGCTCAGCAGAGCAGAGCTGTAAAACCAGGGGATCCAGGGCAGGCAGAGCCATGATTCCACCTTGGGATTCATCATTCCAGGTCCTCTTGGCTCTTCACAGAACCATTTACGTTGGAAAAGACCCTCAAGGTCATCAAGTCTGACCCTTAATTGCCAGGCACTGTCACATCCACCACCAAACTCTGTCCCCAGGCGCCCCATCTGCACAAACACCTCCAGGTTCTTCTGTGGTTCCTCACAAACCCAAAGCTCCCTGAGCTCTTACAGGGTCCCAGCTTTCTTCTCATCCCTCATCCTTGATGACATTTCCTTTGGGGAGGTCTGAAACCATGGAGATGCAAATGGAAATACCATGGAAATGCAAATGGAAATACCATCTGTCAGCTGAACCAAGGAAACAGGAACCTCTCCTGGTTTCCCTAAACATTTTCCTCTGCGTTGTTGTGGCTGATCTTTCATTTAAGACCCTCTGTGGCCTTGCATTTTCCATCTCATGGCCTGGGGAGAGAAAGGAAGAGGTGAAGCTACAGGAGATGTCCCTTTTGTGGCCACCACGCTGCTGGAAAGTCCCAGGGAGGGGACCCAACACTTCTGTATCAACAAGAAACCCCTTGTTACCAGTTTCTCCAGAACTTTGCCTTCCTGGAGATCCTGTTCCCCAACAGCAACTGAGCTGAACTCTGGACCCTCAGATCCCTCTGTGGACCCTGTGAACCTTCCCTTCATCATTTCTCACAGTCAGTGATGCTGTGCAAGCTATGCCAGAGCCATTTCCCAGCCCACAGCCTTCCAGGAAGACTCCAGAACTTCCAGAACTTTGTATGAAAGCACCGAGAGCTTGGAGTTACCCTCAGCCAGCAATCCCAGCAGCTGAAGAAGCTCCAACGAGGGATCAGTCACCCACGTGCCCCATGAACCAACACCAGAAAGCCCCCAAGCCAGGCTGGGTGGGATCTCACCCCACTGGGATTTGTGGGGACCCTCAGGAGGTTCTTTCAGCAGACCCCACGTCGCCCCTGGGTGGCTTTGGTCAAGAAACCACCTGGGTTTTGTCTCTCAGGAGCATTGCTGTTCTCAAATAAAGGGTTTCACATAAGTGTGTCATTGCTTGTGCCCCCTCCAAGGCTTTCCCCTTTATCACCAAACTGGGTGAGGTGGGATTTGCAGGGACCTTCAGGAGGTTCTTTCAGCAGACCCCACGTAGCCCCTGGGTGGCTGTGGCCAAGAAACCACCTGTGTTTTGTCTCTCAGGAACATTGTTGTGCTCAAAAGAAAGGATTTCACCCAAATGTGTCTTTCCCCCCTTGTCTTGGTGGCTCCTGCAGGAACAGCTTCTCCCTCATGAGGAAGGAGAAACTGCACCTGGCAAGGACCAGATCTCCATGTGAGAGGTGGGCTCAGCTTCTTCCAAAAATCCAGAACCTCTTGGTGAGCCCCTCAGAGAGGCACCAGAGCTTTGGCCACCCCTGCAGACCTTCATATTCCAGAGCTATGAGGACACCAAGTTCTGGGGCTCCCTGGTCCCCTGTGCCACATCCATGAAAAGGCCACAGGGATTTGGGCCCTGGAGCAGAGCTTCAATCCCTTCTCCCACCTCCAGCCTCATCTCACCCTCACCCCAGCACTGGCTGCATTTCCAGGAGCTTATGTAGCTTTTTGGAAAGGTTTCCAGGCTAGGAGAGATGTCAGACAGGCCAGACACTCATCTCACAAAAACCTTTCTGACAGGGACGATGTTCTGGTGGCACTGGCCAGGAATTTTTTCCTGTGGAGCAGCGTGCAGGGTTGAGAATGAGAAAGAGCATTTAAAAAAAAAAAATACTAAAAAAAATGTAAAAAGCTCTGCAATGAAGCCAGCACAGGCAGGACGTGGCCACGGGGACGTTATGCAAAGAGCTGCTCACATCTGGAAGGAGTTACTGAGCACAGCAACCAGGGCTGAGTCTAAACAAGTGCAGGACGTTTCTGCATGGATGTCTGAGCTGGGAGCGGCTGGGGGAGCCAGAGGAGCTGGGAAGGTGGGATGGAAATCCCCAAGGTGTGATGAAAATCCTTAAGGTGGGATGAAAATCCCCAAGGCTCTGGGGATGCCCCCAGTGCCCTTCAGAGCCTCTGTGCCGCTCTGTTTTTAGGCTGCTGTGGATCCATGTGCTGTTTTGGGTGGTGTCTGCAGGAGGGTTGGGGGCAGGAATGGGTTTTGGAGGTGGTCACCATCCCAGTGACCCAATGGGATTTTGGGGGTGTTCTCCCACTGTTTGGAGGGAATGAGGATCCCCCACATGGATCCATTTAAGGCAGGTGTGGAGCATTAATTGGGAGCATCCCCTGGATCTTGCCGTGGTTGGGGAAACTGAGGCACACAACCTCTCACCCCGTCCCCAACCCCAATAGAAAGACCCCAAGGCTTTTTGGGGCATAAAATTTCAGTTTGAGGTATTGTAGAGTAACAGCAATTTATTTTAAATGGGATTTTTGGGTTCTTCTCCCACTGTTTGGAGAAAATGGGGATCCTCCACCTGGATGTGTTTAGGGTACATTTGGAGCATTAGTTGGGAGCAATCTTTGGATCCTGCTATGGTTGGGGAAACTGAGGCACACAACCTCTCACCCTGTCTGCAACCCCAATAAAAAGACCCAAGGCTTTTTTGGGGCATAAAACCTCAGTTTGAGGTACTGTGGAATAACAGTAATTTATTTTAAATGGGATTTTTGGGTTCTTCTCCCACTGTTTGAAGGAAATGAGGATGCCCCACCGGGATGTGTTTAAGGCACACTTGGTTCTTGGGAGCCTCATCTGCATCCTACTGCAGTAGGGGAAACTGAGGCACACGGCTCCTCAACCCCTCCCCAAACCCAATAAAAAGACCCCAAGGCTTCGTGGAGGCATAAAACCTCGATTTGGGTTGTTGTGGAGTATCAGCAATTTATTTAAAATGGGATTTTGGGGTGTTCTCCCACTGTTTGGAGGAAATGGGGATGCCCCACCTGGATGTGTTTAAAGCACATTTGGTCATTGGGAGCATCCTCTGGACTCTGCTATGGTTGGGGAAACTGAGGCACACAAATCTCTCACCCCCTCCCCAAACTTTATAGAAAGACCCCAAGGCTTTTTGGGGCAAAAAACCTCAGTTTGGGTTGTAGTTGTTTGTTTATTTAAAAATGGGATTTTGGGGTGCTCTCCTGCTGTTTGGAGGAAAGGAGGATCCTCCACTGGGAGGGTGTTTGTGGCACATTTGATTCTTGGGAGGCTGCTCTCTATAACCAAATGTACCTTAAACACAGTCCCAGGGAAGGATACTAATTCCCTCAAAAGTTAGCAGGAGAACACCCCAAAATCCGATTTTTAAATAAACCAACCTTATTTTACTACAACCCAAACTGAGGTTTTATGCCCCAAAACGCCTTGGGGTCTTTCTATAAAGTTTGGGGAGGGGGTGAGAGATTTGTGTGCCTCAGTTTCCCCAACCATAGCAGAATCCAGAGGATGCTCCCAATGACCAAATGTGCTTTAAACACATCCAGGTGGGGCATCCCCATTTCCTCCAAACAGTGGGAGAACACCCCAAAAATCCCATTTTAATTAAATCCCTGTTGCTCCGCAACACCTCAAATTGAGGTTTTATGACCCAAAAACCTTGGGGTCTTTCTCTTGGGGTTTGGGGAGAGGTAAGGAGCTGTGTGCCTCAGTTTCCCCAACCATAGCGCAATCCAGAGGATGCTCCCAAGGACCAAACATGCCCTAAACACATCCAGATGGGGCATCCCCATTTCCTCCAAACAACAGGAAAACACTCCAAAAATCCCATTTTAATCAAATGGACCTTACTCCACGACACCTCAAATTGAGGTTTTATGCCCCCCAAAAAATATTGAGATCTTTTTATTTGGTTTGGGGAGGGGGTGTGAAGGGTTGTGTGCCTCAGTTTCCCCTGCCATATCAGGATGCAGAGGATGCTCCCAACTAATACTCCAAATGTGCCTTAAAGACATCCAGATGGGGCATCCCCATTTCATCCAAACAGTTGGAAAAGACTCAAAAAAATCCCATTTTAAGCTCCATGACACCTCAAATTGAGGTTTTATGCCCCCAAAAAATCTTGGGATCTTTTTATTGGGTTTGGAGAGGCGGTGAGGTGTTGCGTGCCTCAGTTTCCCCTGCCATACCAGGATGCAGAGGATGCTCCCAAGAACCAAACCTGCCTTAAACACATCCAAGTGGGGGATCCCCATTTCCTCTGAACAGTGGGAGAATACCCCCAAAATCCCACTTTAAGTAAATCCCTGTAACTTCACCACACCTCAAACTGAGGTTTTATGACCCAAAGAGTCTTGAGGTCTTTCTTAGTTTTGGAGAGGGGTAAGGAGCTGTGTGCCTCAGTTTCCCCTGCCATAGCAGGATGCAGAGGATGCTCCCAAGAACCAATGTGCCTTAAACACCTCCAGGTGGGGACATCCCCATTTCATCCAAACAGTGGGAAAACACCCCAAAAATCCCATTTTAAATAAATTGCTGATACTCCACAACACCTCAATTTGAGGTTTTATGCCCCCAAAAAATCTTGGGGATTTTTCATTGGGTTTGTGGAGGGGGTGAGGTGTTGCGTGTCTCAGTTTCCCCTGCCATAGCAGAATCGAGGAGATGCTCCTAATTAATGCTCCAAATGTGCCTTAAACACATCCAGATGAGGGCATCCCCATTTCATCCAAACAGTGGGAGAACACCCCCAAAATTCCCATTTTAAATAAATTACTGTTACTCCATGACACCCCAAACTGAGGGTTTATGTCCCCGAAAAATCTTGGGGTCTTTTTATTGGGTTTAGGGAGGGGGGGAGAGGTTGTGTGCCTCAGTTTCCCCAACCATAGCTCAATCCAGAGGATGCTCCCAAGAACCAAATGTGCTTTAAACACATCCCGGTGGGGGAACACTCATTTCCTCCAAACATCAGGAAAACACTGAAAAAATCCCGGTTTAAGCTCCATGGCACCTCAAATTGATCTTTTATGTCCCCCCAAAAGCCTTGGTATCTTTCTATTGGTTTTGGGGAGGGGGTGAGGAGCTGCGTGCCTCAGTTTCCCTGCCCAGCGGGGTCCCGGGGATGCTCCCGGTGGATGCCGCGCTGCATTGGCGGCTGTGTCGGAGGGTTTGGGGTGCGGGCACAGGGTGACAGAGGGGTGTCCCCCGTGGGGTGGCGGTGGCTGCTGTCGCTTTAAAGGGGCAGCCGCGGCCCCAGCTGATGCGGCGGCTCCAATCAGCGGCCCCGGGGCTCTTGGCAGCCGGAGCCGCCGCCGCTCCGCATTCCTCCGGCTTCCCAAAAGGGGCGAACATGGCGATGGGCAGGATGAGGTGAAGAGGAGGAGGAGGAAAAATATAAAAATTAAATTTAAAAAAAAAAAAAAGAGAAAGAGGAAGAACAATATAGAAAGCAGGAGGAGAGGAAAATGATGAAAAGGGAAATATAGGGGAAAAAGAGGGACGGGGATGCAAGCAGCGCTGGCGCGGTGATTTCCTCCCCCCCCCCCCCTTCTTCTCCTCCTCCAAAAGGCGAAAAAAAAAGGAAAAAAAAGCAGAAATAAGGCGGCCAAAAAAAAAAAAAGAAAAACAGGAAAAAAAAGCCACCAAACCAGCAACCCACCCAACCCACCAATTTCTTGTTTTTTTCATGGAGAGCACAAACCCCAGGCCAGCGGAGGAGGACCGGGACTCCTCAGCGCGGAGACCTTTGCATCAAAATGGTAGAGCCTGAACCCCCCTTTCCACCCGCCTCCCCTTCTCCCTTTTCTCCTCGCTTTTATTTCCCCCTCTCCCTTCCCCTTCCTTCCTCCGTCGCTTCCTCGCTCTGCCGGGGCTTTGCCGACTTCCCAAAGGCCTCGAAACTTGCCCAAATCCCGGCCAGGGCGGCGGAGGTGCATGAGGGAGCGGGGGGGGCTGCATGGGCGATGCTGCATCCAGGCCTGAGGGGACACGGGAGGGGGCCGTGGATTATTTTTTATTTTATATTTTTTGAGGGGGTTGGGGGGTGTAAAAAGCGCAGCCCGGCCGGGTTTGGGCCCGGTGCTGCTCTGCTGAGGGGGTTGCATGGGGGTGCCCCCTCCTGCAAGGTGAGGACGGGCTGGGTTTGGTGGAAATGGCATTAAAAACGCGGCCCCCCCCACTATCACCAGCACCTTTGGGGTGCTTTAGAGGGGGATGGCGGTGCGGAAGGGCCGTGAGGAGGGGTCGGAGCCTTCCCTTGGGAGGAGCCCAGCCCGGCTCGGGGGTCCCTGGGAGGATTTGTGGGCACCCACACACTTTTGGAGCCCCCCAGGCCGGAGGATCCGCTGTGAGGGAGAAGGGGGGGCGCAGGAGCTGCCGCTTCCTCGGCCATTCCCATTCCCCGGATGACTCCATCCTTTTGCCAATTCCTGCCCGCCTCCTTCCCCCCCCCTTTTTCCACGGCTGGTTCCCGTCCTGGGCCCCCTTTTCCCGGCGGGTCTGGGGGGGGGTTTGGGCGCTCCCCAACATCCCGGAGGAGCGAGGCTGCAGGGAGGGCGCAGCATCCCCCCCACCTCTGAAAAAGCGATTTTCTCTTAAAAAATAACAATAATAATAATAACTCCAGAGCTGCTCTCCTGCAGCAGTGACCTATTTTATCGGCCGGTGGAGTTTTTTTTGGGGGGGGTTTAGTTGGAGTTGCGGAGGGCAGGCCCGAGCTGGGAAAGATCCACGGGAAATCCCCCTGGGATGCGCTCCCGGTGCCTCGGAGCCTCCCCCATCCCAAAAAGTGCGGGGCTGGGTTTGCCCCAGCCCTGGCTCCCTGCCCGTCCTGACGCCCCGGGAAGCTCCGAGTGGAATTTTGGAAAGGGCAAGAAAGTGCAAGCTCGGAAAAATGAGGAAAGGATGATGGATGGGATGGGGCTCGGCACCCCAAGACCGCGGGGGTTTAATTAATGCCGGGGTTAAAGTGGTCGGGATTGGGTTTGGGTTCACGCTGGGCCTGTGAAATAAAATCCCGCTGAATCCTGTGCCTGCATCCCTTGCCAGAGGAGATGCTGAGGGCTCGGGGGACACACCGGGGTGTTTTGGGGAGCCTTTCGTGCGCTGACGTGGAGCTGGAGACACCCAGAGCCCACCCCAGCGAGGAAGACGGGGAAAAGTTGGAAATCCAACCTTCCTTCCACACCCTGCCTCGGCAAGAACCAGAGGAAAATTTGCTTTACAAAGCAAAATTCCTCCTTGGAAAGACACGAAAGGGATTTATTATTTATTATATTTTTTTTATTATATTTTTTCCTCTGGATCTGTGGTGAAATCTCTCTGGGTGCAAACATTCTGCCTCCAGCTGCAGAGTTTCCGTGAGGATGCTCAGCCCCACTCCGGGGTTATTCCCGGGGTGGCCGCAGGGTCCCCTTTGCCACCTGGGCTTGGAGTGACGGCGGAGCTTTGTTCTCCCCGGGAGGAATTAACGGAGCGTTCCCTTATCAGCAGGCGAGATAAACGGCCCCGTGCTCGTGTCTCTCGGGTCTGGAGCAGAGATATTGCCACCCCCTCCACAAAAATAACCCGCTGCCGCCTTTGGAGATGGGTCTTTTGCAAAAGACAGGGAGAAAAAACGGGAGGTCGCTTGCCCGAGAGTTGGTGAAATATTGGTGCTTTTTAAGATGCAGGTTTTCCTGCTTGTGGAAAAATAAGGGAAAAAAAAAAAAAGAATCCAGACCTTTTGCGGATGAACTGAATGTGTCAAAACATCAGAGGGTCTTTGAAGGTTTTGGGGGGAATTGCTGATTTTCCTGTTTTCCTTCCTGGAGGAGAAAACTGAGGGCTCTCCCATGCTGCTGCATTTAAACCTTTATAGAGGGGACCTGGTGATGGCCCTGACAAAGTGACTGGGGGTGAAGTTTTTAATTTGCTGCCACATTTGCCTGGCCCCACAAATGTGGGTATTTAGATCCTCCATGTGGTTTGCATGCTAGATGTCATCCTAGATGTCATCCTAGATGTCATCCTAGATGTCCCCTGGCATTCCATGGGTCCCTGTAGAAGTGGAGGAGTGGATGTTGGTGGGCAGGATGAGCTCTGTGCCTCCTGCCCCCAATTTTCCCTTATTTCTAAGGAAATGGGTTGTGTTTGTGGAGGGCAGGGGTGGCCCCATTGGGTTTCCTGTGTGGGGACACACCTGAGGACTTGTCCCTGTGTCCTCTGGGGCTGCTGTCCCCTCTGCAGCCAGCTCAGTGTTCATCCACCTGTCCTGATGGTGAAAACTGGGATGCCTTTGGATATGGGGAAAGACTGGCCATGGTGGCGCAGATGTGATGGCTAGAAGACTTAATTACAACAAACTGTCTTTTTTTATTATTATTTTTATGATTACGTCTTTTGCCTGGAGCCAGGGATGCTGACACCCTGTCTGAGTTAAAGCTCTTCTCCCCAAGCTACAGGAAAAAAGGGTGATAAACATAAGGACAAAAATAATGCATGTTCATAAAAATGTTAAAAGTGTTGGGAAGAAAGGACCTGGTGCATCGAGATCCTTGATCCAGGCAAATGGATCTGAGGGAAGATGGCCAATGGCAGATAATCTTTAGGGTCCCATCCAGCCCAAACCATTCCATGGCTGGTGCTTCCCAAAGAGCCCTGGTCAAGGCTGGGTTAGGATGGATCTGGAGGTGGGGACCATCCCTGGGGTCAGAGCCAGCGTTTGGAGAAATGCTCTGGGATGGGAAGTCCTGCCCAGCGTGCTGGGACAGGTGGAATCTTGGATCTCTGGCAAGTTTGTGGCTGGCTTAGGAAATGCTGTGGTTTTAGGCTTTGCTGAGGGCTGAGTGTGGGACAAACCCTGCAGGTGTCACACCCCAACACGCTGCTGATCCACCTGGAGGGTCGTGGTGGCTGCCCAAGGGATGGGCACTGTGGTGCTGGGCAGGGGATGCTGGAAACCTCATTCAGCAGTGCTTAGAGGAGGAGGTTCCATCCATCCCTCCATCCCTCCATCATCCATCCATCCCTCCATCCATCCATCCATCCATCCATCCCTCATCTCTCCATCCCTCCATCCCTCCATCCATCTTGCTGGGGATCCCAGTCCCTTCCTGCATCCCTGGCTGCACATGGCAGGGGGGTGCCTTGGGGTTATGATGCCCTTGGGCTCTGCACAGGTGACATGGTGGCTGTCCTGCTGCACCCATCCCTGCTCCCAGCACTGAATTTGGGGTTCCTGTCAGCTCTGGGGGCTCTGAGCACCGCCTGTCCTGTTGCATCCACGCCCTCCCTCGGTGGCAGTGGCACTGGGGACATCCCTGGGCTCTCTGGGGTGATGTCCCCTCTGGAGCTGGCCCCTGGCGCAGCCTCTTGGCCGCCAGCCCAGCTGGGGAGGTCAGCCTTGGGTTTTGTCCTCGTTTCCTCCCTCAGCCTTCCCTCTGCTTGTTTGTCTCGGGCAGGAGAGGGAGGGGGACGGTGGCTTTGTGTGTGTGTGCGTGTCCCGTGGGCTCTTCCACCCCAGCAGTGACTCTGAGGGCAGGCCTGCATCCCACAGATGGAGGGCAGCATCCAATCCCACCCCATCCCACCCCATCCCACCCCATCCCATCCCATCCCATCCCACCCCACCCCATCCCATCCCACCCCATCCCACCCCATCCCACCCCATCCCATCCCACCCCATCCCACCCCACCCCATCCCATCCCCATGCCAGCACAGCAGCTCAGGGACATCTCCATCTGCCTGTGCCAGGCACTGGTGGTGCCCCCCTGGCCTGGCTGTCCTGTCTGCCCTCAGAATTTGCCAGGGCTGTGCCAGCTCTGCTGGAATCCACCAGCATCCCTTTGGGATTTAACCCCAGACCTGGCTTTGCCCAGCTCTGGAATCACCTGCAGAGCTTTTGCTGGGTCTGACTGAGCCACACCAGCCCTGACCAAGGGGACAGGGACACACAGAAAGGCGTTCCCATCCGGGGTTTGGTGTCTCTGCTCTCCTGGAGTGATTGGGATTTGTCCTGGGATGAGAATAATGCAGCGTTGCTGGAGCCTGAGTATTTTTGCGGCAGAGGCTGTGTCTGAGCAGGGCACAGTGCTCCACTCCCCACGTGTTGGGATGGGCTCCCAGGGCTTGGCACTGCCCTCACTGTCACCCTGGTGGAACAGAGGGACAGTGTCCTCGATGCCATCGCGGTGGTGGCATCCTCCAGGAGCAGCATCACCTCACTGGGACGATTTGGGAATGGGGTGTGACAGTGGGGTTGATCCATCCATCCTTGGAAATGTCACAGTGGCTTTGCAGCTCTGTGTGCAAAAGGAAAGAAAAGTACCCAGAGCAGCTGAGAGGGTTTAAAAAAAATTTAAAATATGGGGTAAAAAAAAAGGCACCAAGCCATTAACCCTCTGTGGGCTGTGCTGTTGGGAAGGCAGTGCCTGCTCCCAGTGGATGAAGCTTTTGTGTTGCTCATCCTGCTCCTCTCCCCATGCTGCTGGTGGCCATGGCGCTTCCAAAAAAACCCCAAATGAACCTTTTCCCCTTTGCAAAGGAGTCCTCTTGGTTGCAGGGAGACAGGCATGGGGGAAGGAGCTGTCCCTGTTCCATTGCATTGCTGGGCCTGGTGCTGCTACCAGCTCCCTGGGAAAAGCATCCTTGAGCCAAAGCCTGTACAGCATGAATATCATTAATAAAAAATTAGGAACAACCAAAAGGGAGGCGATAAAAAAAAGCCTGTGAAGCATCTGACTGTCCCACAGCTGCACTGATGCTCTTCTTCACCCAGCA